GGAGTTACCATTCGAAAATATGTATTAAGAAGGAGGATTGGACTAGTATTTTAGATTTGGTTAAACTCAGTATTTTTTGCAATAACAAACTCTGGTTGTTAGATTGAATGTTATGAATATCAAGAAGTAACCTCAATTAAAACAATAGTCTTCAATTAATAGACAAAATCAAAGTCACCATATTTTGAAATAATAAGAAATAGACTATTATTACTGCAATATTATCAACGAAGAAGATTTGCTATTTTAAATCTTTAATTCTATATAGATCATTTAATATATATTTGCCAAATTGGATGTCGATCGCAAACTCTAATAAGTTTCATAAAATCTCAGTAAAATGCTTAAAAAAGATGTTATCATAACAGTGAATCATCAATCTTTGTTAGACATATTGCAATCTGAAATTCAATACATAAGAACTGTGAAAGATAGAAAGAAATAGCTAAGAATGCAAACCTAAATCAAGGAACTCCTAATCAAATTATCTGAGTTCTTTTAGGATAAATCTGAATAGTTATTGATCGAATAATTGTAGAGTCACACTTTTGAAAATCAATTTTAAACCAAACTGTCAGCGCTTCTTCATTCATTAAGATAAGGCTTCAATCGCTCGTAGAATGAATTACCAAATCATCGTAAAATTGTGGCTGTCTAAAAAGCTAAAGTCATAACAAAGGTTAGATATCCCAACAGAAATTGTGATAAGATTATTAGTTTATACTTTGGATTTTAGTTAAAGCCCAGCTTTTACATATCAAAGAATCAAATAGGAGATTTATTAATAGTGGTTTTCAAGGATGAATACTAATGTCTTTAGACGATGCTGTGTTAATTGGTAGATAGTAGTAGATAAGGAAAGCTTGTATTTTATTAATTTGATGAATCTTCAATTTCTACCTTATCGTAAGAATAACTGGAATAATATTGTGCTATGTCGAATAAGATGAGGAAGAAAGATAGCGAGGATGATAGGATAGAAGTAGTTGACAATGAAGACATAATAGCTGTGATATTGTTTGAAAAAGGATGGCCAGAAGATCCAGATTTCATTAACAATATAATCAACTTGTACATCACTGATCAAAATGGAAACCTGTACTTTATTCACGAATAGCGGTTGGCTAAAAAGCTGATTCAAATCTAAGAATCAGATAGTGAATCTATTAAGCGATAACTATTGGATGCTGCTTTTGGTATGAATTAAGTTCAAACCTACAGTTAATTCACAGCAGCTGAAATTATTCCCATATTTCCAAACTAAATTCTTTATGAATTTGAGTCAGGAAAAATTAAGTAATCTAAAAGTGATGTGACCAATTCTTAGAAGATGATTATTAAGATAAATGATATAGATTTCTAAATAGATAAATTGAAATTAGATTTGTTGAATATAGCATGTTATTTTGATTCAAATGACAGTGCCTAATATCATGTCAAATAGTTAACTCAATTTAAGGAATCTCACAATGAACTATCAAAAATCTAGATAATAATAAAGTTTAGTGATGATTTGAATTCAAATCCATCTTATTACTTGGATAATATCATGCAATCCTAGATTGCTTTTGTAGAATTTCAATAAGGGTATGAGACATTCTTTACTGATAAATACATGCCTTAAGTTGAAAATTCTCTTGGTTTTATGTTCGACATCAATTAATCATAGATCAAGAAAAACTTATTGATGAGTATATTTAAAGTAATTGAATTTACTTTTGATCTTACAACTGAAAACAACAATTAACTAATTTTCTTTGAAAACGGAGTCTTGAAATTAAAAACGTTTTTAATAGAAAAGGATGAAATAACTAAAGAAAGTTAGATTCCTATCAAAACTTTAAGAATTGAGGTTCCTTCTGGAAATAAAATCGGATAGTTTCTTAATCAACTAATAATCAATTTTACTAAATACAATTTAAGCGATCTGTTAATGGAAAAAGCAAAATTTGAGATAATCATCGATTAGAATTATTAGAAAGAGTTTGAACAAGAAATCTTGACTTTGCTCCTAATAACAAAGTATCTCCATAAATTGATTGCAGTAAAAAATGATAAGAAGATTCTATTTCAGATAATCAAACAGACTTAAAAATCTATTTAACTCTATTAGTTTTCTAAGGACAGAAATGAAGTGCATTTATTTTATGAAAGATTTTAAGATTTCCGATTTGAAGACTTCCTACTAGATTATTTAAATAACTACACATACTAATATTAAAGTAGTTACAATGAGTTGGATAAAAGGATATTAAGTAAGAACTAATTGATGATGTAATCAATGATTTTAAGTGCTGATGATTTGATCAGAAAGGAGAAACAACAAGTTTAATAATCATATGAATTGAACATACATTATGGATTATAAAAAATAAAGAAATTGGAAGGTAGATTAGATCCAAGAGATTTTGAAACAGCATTCATAATAGTGAAAGGATAAGTGTATCAAAAAGTTGTATGCGTTAAGAGTTGTCAAAAATACTCACCATTGGTTTAATACTTAAAGTAGAATTCTTTGGAATAGAAATGTGGATTTCCAATATATGTATTGATCAATGGGTTATCGGAATATTTATCTTTGGATGAACAGTTATCAAAAATAAAAATAATAACCAAAAATAATGTCGAGAGACCTCTTTCTTTTTTTAAGAATTATTCAAATATTTTAAAAGCCAAAGTAAAATTCATTACATCAAATATAATATTCATTGAGTTCAATTGTTCTCAACCACTTGAATTTACAATAAAGACTACATCTTAGTTTTAAGTAGCATGTATAAAATAGGATTTCAGTTCTGAAATCAAACTAAAGTTTCTTCCTACTCAGGATTCGTAGATGTATAAGTTTTATCATACTGGTTTATGGTTTGAAAATGAATTCAAACAAATTGTTAAAGATGAGTCATAAAATAAAATGAAAGAAATTAGCTCTAACACAAATAAATTCCTTAAACTCATTATGAAGTCCTTGTCAGTTAATGAGGATATGAAAATGTAGTAAAACCAATAAAATATCAATTTGAATCAGATCCTCAGTAATAATGTACTCAATATTTAAAGTAAATAATTAATAAGTCAATCCACAAAAGTAGGATCAGAAAGATTAGATGTGATTGAAATTAAAGACAACTTTGGGAATGTGGCACAGAATTTTACTCTTTAAACAATACTGTTTGTTCACTCAATATATCAAAAAGTCTAAGTAGTTCCTAAATATTCAAAGGAAGACATTGGATTGAAAATTTATTGGGAACCTCAAATTAAAGGGATCTATTACCTTTATATCAATAATTATAAAGTGGATAGCTATTTTGTAGTTTTGGCGAATTCAGTGGATATAGAAAAATCTAAGGTAGATTTTCCTGAAAAACTGAAAACCATACCTTATTATTAGGAAATTACATTTAACGTTTACTTGAAGGATAAGTTACAAAATATTTACGGATCAATAGAGAATGAGTTGAATGCAGTTAAAATAGAAGTGGAAAGTTCACACGAGATGTCTAATATTGAGTAGAATTACAGTAAATTATCTCTGGAGGGCAAAATAGAGGTGACACTGAGAGTGCTCCCAATAGATGAGGACAATATAATTGACGAGGATGAGATAGAATTAGTTCTTAAAATCAATGACATATAAAAAATGAGTAAAATATTCTATTATTTTTTAAGATAAGAAATTGGTGTTACAAGGTATTTCATTCGAGAAGAATATGCAGGATTTCTAGAGATTGATTTTATACGACAATGATGGCAAAAAGATATATAAAGTTGAGAAACAAGTCTTAATAGCACGCGCAAACTTCTTAGATAGTTTGCTGAAGTTAAAAGACGAGAAGCTAATTGGACCTTTAATGATCAAATTTATAAATGAGGCTGGTTATGATTAAGGAGGTCCAAGGAAAGAGTTTTATGCGATGATAGGAAATGAATTAAGAGGAGAAAATCTAAAATCAGAATAGTATGGATATTTTAGTATGTTGGCACCAGGATATTATTTTATTGATTCAAGATTTTTAAATATACCTAAGAAAAACGATTATGCATTTGTTTTTGGGAAGGTATATATAATTATAGATATTGTTTATAGCTCGTGGCTAATTCAATTTTTAATAATCACCAAATAGGAATTCAGTTTTAACCATAATTTTGGAAAGTGGTATTTTCTGAGAAAATCCAATTTAAAGATCTCAATGGATTCTTAGATCCGATAACATTTTAAAATTATGAAATGATGCTTTCATATGATGAAAGAACGATGGAGTCATTAGGAATTAATTTCACTTACTAAAAGAAAAAAGAGGTGATTCAATTGATTCCAGATGGGTAGAATGTAATGGTGAGTAAAGAGAACTGTTAAGTATACTTGGACAAAGTAGCGGAATACTTGATCCAGACACAGTTTTAGGAGATTTACACACCATTCATTTAAGGATTTTAATCAGTATTAGAAATTTAGGTATAATGCTTGTATATAGACATTATAGGATTTAAAGAAGTTCTTCAAACCGAATGATATGGGTCTCATAACTATGGGAGTTCAAGATATCAAACCTGAATAAATTTTGAATATTTTGAATTTCAAAGGAGGCTAGGACTATCACATCTCGTACTTTACTACTTATGTCAACACATCGAGTAGCAAGAGACTCAAAGAACTACTACAATACATCACAGGAAGCCCAACGTTGGCATCGAATGCGAAGTTTAAGATACAGGTTGAGTTCAAACCAGATCTCAAGGACACTCTAATACCAGCATCCAGGACTTGCTTCAATACGATTGAATTGCCGCTCTACAAAAGTTATCAAGACATGAAATAGAAATTGGACACTGCTTTAAAATATGGATTGGTAGGATTCGGAATTTTCTGAATTCAGATTATGAGGAGATCAATAGATATATATTTTATTCAATATACATATTAAATATTCGAAGAGTAGTGTGGTTGATTACGCAATTTATGGTGATTACTTTTAGATTAATAAATAAGGTAATTTGTGAAAAATTATCGGATCATTAAATATGAGTAATCATCAATCTGATGCTGATTAACAAAAGGTGAAATCGATTTCCGATCATTCCTTAGTGAAATCTCATTCGTAATCAATCAAAGATATAGAGTTATCAGTTTATAGATGGGCTATTTTGCTTTTGTACTTTTTAGTTGTATTGGTGAATGGAGTGCCATACGAAATATGCGTGCCAATAAGTTCGTTTATGGCTGAGATATATAATGTATCCTTGGCCGTAGTTGCAACAGCCTCGACGGTGTTTATGGTTATGCATCCAATATTGTCATTTGTTGCTGCTTAAAGTATATAGAGTAATTCTAGTTAGCAATTTCAAATTACGGATGGGCATCTGCTACCAATTTAGGAGTAATACTAACAATTGTCGGCTGTGCTATTAAGTTATTGATAAACCAAGCAGGGTAAACAATATATATTATATATGTAGATTTTCAGTTTTGATAATCGGGCAAGTTCTATGTGGAATAGGAAGACCTTTTATTTTGAATTCTCAAGCATCGATGGCCATGAGTTGGTTCCATCCTAAGACGAGAATAATCATAATCACTCTGCTAAATGTAGTTAATACATTATCTTTGGTTGTTTCAGCTTAATTGCCTGGGATAATGTTTAAGGGGTATAAATTGGAGAACGACCCAGAATGTGAGGATGGAAGAGACAAAATGTAAAGTTTATGCTTACTTGAATTTTACATAAGTTTGGCCATAGTGCCTAGTTTATTTATGTTGAGGAGCAGACCAAGTTAGGTTCCTGTGAAGATAAATAAAATTGAAAGAAAAGGCGGCATGATGAGGATAATGCTCAGACTATTCAAAAATAGGAACTTTGTGTTACTGTTCATTCCATTTAGTCTCTACTTTGGGATCCTAAAAGCCTACCTGGTAATAATGGAATTGTTGATGGCTCCGTACAAATACGAAACTGATTAAGTGGCTGGTGTTGGTATTAGAATGTAATTATTATAATAAAGTTTCATTTCCTTTGATTGGCGGATTGATAGCCTAAGGAGCATTGCCCTATATTGTGAACAAGTATAAAGTACAGAAACAGTTTGTTCGTATATTTTTGTTATGTTCAACACTATCAATGGGGTCATTATACTTTGCTTTGTCATCGAATAACGTGGTCTACATTTATATAGTAATTACTCTCTTGGCCATGTGTGTGATGCCCATACTACCTGTGATCATGGACATGGGATGTGATTTGATAGCACCAATAGAACCATCATTCGCAGTGGGTGCCTTTTATATGGGGAGCATGCTATTCTTCGTGGTTTTCACTTACATCTTGACATTCATTACTGGAAAGGACAAGCAGGACAAGAGAGTGTTGTTCACGAACATTTTCTCAACTGTCATGCTAATCATAGGATTAGTTTGTAGTCTATTTCTAAAGATCGATGATTCATACCATGATTTGGATGTAGAATAGGACAAGGCTTCTTTAGTTTATCCTTTAGAGAAGAGTCAATCTGTAGTCAAAGGAAAGGGGCCATCTGTGTTTAGAGGAACTTAATCTAAAATGAGTGTGTAGTATCAGAAGGGATCCATGTTCAGTGTACAGTATCAATGTATGTTTAGTGCTCATATAACAATATCAGCATTGTAGGTGATGTGCCAATAATCCCGGGAGAGGAGGCAGAGGATCCCTTTGAGTAAGAACAACAAGAGTGAGTAATAAATTTATATATTTGGATTATCATTAAATTTTTAATAAAAAGAGAAATAGAAATAATATTATAAACACTAACAATTCATTTATTCAATTGCTTCTTCTTTAACTATTTTAGAAAGTTGAGTGCCTGAGTACTCAATTGTTCATTCAATTCGGTCTTTTGGATCTATTTGCCAATGGAGGATGTTTGCATTCTCTGAGTGGAGCGAAACAAAGACCTGGTTTGGGATTGCACTCTCCCAGACCTGAGTCTTTTGATAAGATTGCTAAGTGCTTCTGGATTGTAGACCAACTTCTTTTGTTTGATTTCTGTATCAGAGTTGTGAGGTGAGATGAAATACACATGACGAGGTTTTGCAGGTTGTAAAATATCTAAAATTTAATCATATAGGTGAGAAACGCGAATTAGATCCTGAGTGTCTCCTTTCGAGTTTTCCAAAAGAGTGCAACATTGTTTAGCCTTTTCCCACAATTCATTTGGAGGAACCTAAGTCCTCTCCTAGTCATCAATGGTTTTAGCATTCTCATAGATTATCTCACTCTCAGCAATGTGTTTGCTAACATTGGTCATGTTTGTAACAGAGACAATTTCAAAAGGCATAGGATTTATTTGAATCTTCCCCAAGAATGAATTGATCAATCTATTCTTGACTTTGTAATGCGCAGGATAGATTCGCTTTTCTTATCTATGACATAGGAATTGTTATGAGTAATCAAATGTAAAATACTAACATTAATCTAACATTTATATAATTTGATATTATTTATTTAACATTACAATGTTTCATTATTAATTATATAAACAGTATGCATCACCTTTGTTCCTTTTGGCTTATGATTAAAGTTTGTTTCTAGATCTCTTATTCTTCTAATAAACTATGAGTGCTAGGAGGGACAACAAAAACAGAACACAGAACAAGATGGTCAACAACACCCAATATCTAGTGTAGATAATTAAACACTTACAAATTAGTAGGGTTGAGTGTGCTCATTTGAACATTCAGAATGATAGAAGCTGAAGTAAGGTGATTAATGGCAGTCAGAGTGATAGGTTGTTCTGTGGCATTGCCAAGAAAGGAGAGAGTAGCATATTCATCCACGATATAAAGATTCAGTTTCCTGCTCTCTTTGTTCATCTGTAACAGAGTCTAGCCATTCTCGTCGCTGTGAAGAGAGAAAAACTGATTTGGATAAGACTATTAAGTTTCAACTCCCCCAATCATCAATATAGGTTACTGTTTCTAACCTAGTTTATAGATGCAGATGGTGTAGGAATTAGCCTAATAGGCCAAGGCCAGGTAATCTTTTTCCAACGAAGACTCGTAAAAGACATCGAAGTCGGAGTATCTTTGGATCATTTCATCTATGTAGAGTCTCTAATAGACGTTGTCTTCGAAGTACAAGACCAGAGACAAATGAGCTATTGAGTTGGTCAGGAGAATTATTTTGAATATCTGGAAGTTGTTTTGTGGATCTCCATTCTTAATCACCTTAAGGTATCGGACTTCATCGTCTATATTCAGTCCCATCATCAATTCTATTGGTTGCCTCAGAGACACTCTGTAGAGAGTCTCGTCTGCTGTAATGCATTTGATTGAACTGTCTATGTAATGGAAATCTTAGATGAATAACCCTTATGATAAATCACTCAAGAATACTCTATATTTGTTATTAATCTTATATGTGATGAAACTGGATGCAAAAAATTCACCGAGTTTCCGTTAATCCACACAAGGTGTGTAGGTATATGAGACTGATTTTGGCGGAGTAAATTCATAATGGTAAGCACAAAGTCTAGACGTGTAATACATATACCCTCCAATTATTTGATACCCATCCAAAATCAGGAAGTTACCATCATCCAACAACTCCAATTAGAGAAGCTGATAAGACAACTTGAATTAGAAGGGTTCTCCGATCAATTGATATTGTTTGTCTTAGTATTTAATCATCTAAACAAACCCCTACAATGTGTTAGTCTAACCAGTTATTAGTATTGTATCTTTCTTGCACCAAATCTTATTGATGAAAAATGAGTTGTCTAAACTGAAGTAGAAGGAGGGATGCTTGACATAATGCATCGAATCTAAAAATATCAATTGATTTGAGGTCAGAAATACAAAATAATCGTCGTCCAATTTGCATTCACCCAACAAATTAGAATAATACTCCAGACTCTGAATCATATCAATCTTTTGAGTAAGCAAGATTTAATCTTAGCATTATTAACATTCTACTTGATACTTAACAATCTGTCCCTTAAACCACCCATTCGATATTTTCATCGTTGCCTGATTGACCACCAAACTTTCATTGCTCACCACTGCAACTATATTTGTCATCAAATTCAAAAAAGTCACATTCTACTTAAATTCTATTTGCTCTGGCGAATCAATCGAATCATAATGAATGACTATTTCTTTCTTGTGAATATATTCATCATTCCATTACGATGATATCACCGCTTGAAAATTCCTGTAAATTAATAGGTTCTTTATTCCAAATTTTGAACTCGCATGTATCAATAAACCATAACTGTACATCTTTGTAATTCCCAATCTTAAGGTGTCCTTTAAATACCAACCTAAAGGAATGTGAGTCAAAAGGGATTCTCTGAGATTTACATCCGGCTAATACACTAATAAGACTGTCTATTAGAGAACTGGGGTGTAGGCTCTTACTATGATTTAATCAAAGGATGACATCATCTGAAGTGGCGTTTACAATATGTAATGGAATAGTGGAATCTTCTTCAAGAAGGACACCTGTCTTCTCCTCATACTATACTCTCGCAGTTCCTATTGATGACCGTAATGTAATGCTACAAAAAATGAGTAACTTGTCAAACTCAGCTCTATCTCTCGACATTCTGGAAAGGGAAAGTAATTCACCATTTCAAAGATATCATACATAAATCCAGCAATCAAAGAATCCTAATTAGCGATGATTATCATATTCTGTTTCTTGTCCACTCTCACGAATTTAGGCTTCAATTCGTAAGGTTGAACATCCTATGATGTGATTGAGTAGACAAAGTATTAATTTTATAAGGAATATATTTGGATTTCTCCCTTCTTTTCTAAGACCACATAGATATAATATTCAGTCAGACAAAAGGAGTTGATTAATGAATTTTCATCCTTCAAACTTGTAGAAATCACAAATAGCTTAGTTACTATCGATTATTTTAATTAAAAGATCTCAATCGTGTGTCTGAATTTAGAGATATACCCAAAGATGACTACGTCCTTCTCAATCCATTAAAAAGAATCATTATCTAATTCTCTGTTCGGACTGAAATCATGAACCTTTTAGCATCTTAACTCATATAAGTTAATGAATATTTCGCATTGGTATAAAGTGGCTCTAAAATTCTGCACTTAAATCACGTAATAAGCGTAATTCCAACTGGAAAACATACTTATAAACAACATGTTTTCAGGCCAAATGATGCCATAAATTTTCATGTCCTCCAAGTATCCCAACTTCAAGGAAATGCTTTGATCATTTAATTGTATTTTTGCATTGATGTTGGACCCAGTCACTCCTAATTCCTTGAAAATAGAAGCCTAGGGATAGGTAGGATAATTGACAAACGGCTTGATCTGATTGATCACATTGGTCTTTTGATACAGGTTATTATCCAAATAATCGTAAATGATATAGTTGAATGTGATGGCACATTGTGATTCCTCTGTGCCAATCACTTGCAATCTTTGGAAATCGTTTGAAGGTTGAGTGAAGGGTTTCATGATGAGCATTGCAGAGGAGGCATAATAGACTTATTGGGAAGTTTGAGTAACCAGATAGATTATTGATTGCAAATAACTGAAGTCCAACAAAATTGGGGCATCAAACAATTTTGAATACATTCTTTGCATGTTTGAAATTTAATAAATGCTGACATAAGTGGAGTTGTATAGACCAATGTATTTCTAGTCTCTATTTACTCTGAGTCCGGACATGTTGAATTAGGATAGGTTCATTGCTCCATTAAGCCAAAAATAGTAATCAATTTGTTCCAATGAAAGTACGTAGATAGAATTCTGAATCGTTGAAACTATAATTTAATAGGACGTCTCTTCAAACATTAAGCTCATCGAATAGTAGGTGGAAAAGTAAGTGTAATTATGATGATGCACCAATGAAAATTGTTCTAAATCTACGCTCTGTAATATGATGACTCCTAGTTACTTATCCAAAAGAACCACTTGGTCTTTTAGTGCCAATTTGGCATTTATAATTTCGAATGATTTGTCAGCTTGAGGCAACAGAGATGTTAATACTGTTTAATTTATGATAACATTAAAGTCACACACAGATCCATCGTAATAATAGATATGAACGTTGTTCTTTGTGAGGATCAAGATCTTTTTCTCGTATATATCAATATCTAAGATTTAACTGTCAACCTAGTAGTAATTCTATTGCTTGGCAATCCAAAATCGTTTCCCATTCGCTAGTAACACTGCATCCTTTTGGATGACTCTCACAAAAGAACATGGCTGATCGGTCTAGAAATACACTATCTCAACTGACGGGTATCTTATTTAATAAAGGGACTCATTCTTTATTAAGATGGCCTTCTGATTTGTATCAAATCCCACTGTCTTCATCGAGTGGATGTCTAGCAATGTGACATCGCCTATTAGACATATATGTGTATGTACTTAAGTCAACCTGGGTGACATCCAAAAGCTGGAGGATTTGAAGAAGTTCGAAATTCCCCTCATTGCCATTTAATGAAAAGGTCAGATCTACTCCATAAAAGTATTTGTTCAGATCCCATTCCTTCCGCTCGTAGGTCGATGCATATATCGTTAAATCGTTTTCTCCTTGATTAATACATATTCATACAGCAATACAAAGGAAATGATGGAATGAACAATAAAAATAATAGCATTTATATAATATATATAATTCATTTCTTAATTGAACAAGTTTTCACTTTCTCGGCAAATCTGAGACTAGCAAGAGTTTGCTAAAAATCCTCTGATCTCGACGAAATGTTCACCATCATCAACGTCTTCGAACTGCCTTCCATGTACTTGTACAATGAGAAGGTCAGCTTGCTATTTCTAAACGGGACATGCTGCTGCTTCGTATAAAGAGCATTAAACACATCGCCCAAAGCACTCAATGATTTATTAATGGCCTTAGTCTCTGTGAATCTATCCCCTTCAGTTTTGGCCACATTGGCCCTCTCAGAACCAGCCAAATCAATCAAATTTAAAGTAGAATTAATCTGCTTGTCCCCCAAATGCCCTTACAAATTTAACTAAAATATAAAATGACTTCGAGATGACGCCTCGTTACTAAGCGTTTCTGCAACTTATCTGTTCTTCTTCGCAGTATTAAAATGATCTGCCACTTCCACTATGTCTTTGACATCCAATAATTTAACTTCGTCGCACTTTTAATTTGTAATTAAGTCTCTGCTCTACTCATTGTAAATCTCTTGGAACCCAACTCTGATATTCATTTGCCATCCAAGTTCCAACATCCCTTACCTCTCTTTGAAGATCTACTCAATCGCTCTCGGTATCACACCCTTGTTATAATCATCCCCCTACATGGTGTATGTTTTGCCTGAGCCAGTTTGTCCATAAGCAAAGATGCACACATTATGACCATCCACTACATTTTGGACCAAATCTGAGAGTTCATTGTAAATTTCCTATTGATCTGCTTCTTAGCTAAAGATGTGTTCGAAATTGAAACTGCTTTCCTTCTAGCAGTTGGTTGACTTTAGGAATCTCTCAGGAACTCTAAGTACTAACGTACATTCTCCATTTAGCAATAACATATCCTCTTGTGAATTTGGTCTAATACGACAATAGACACGTATGTTGCCTTTGGCTTCTTGGAGGAGATTGTTCCAGTATCTTTTCTGATGTTCGGTGTCCTTGAGTTCTTGTTGTAGTTGAATTTATTGTTGTTAACTCAGTTTAAAATTGTTGATAAGTTATTGTTTCAGGAACTTCTTTTGTTCAAGTTCTTCTTTGGTTTGCTGTAATTCAATGAGCATCCTCTCTTTGGCCTTTTGCGTTTCTGCAATTTATAACCTGGATCGAGTTTGTTATTCAAATAATTCTTGGATCGATTGGATCTGATTCTGTTGCTGGTTCAATCGACTGGCATGGTATTCCAATTGATCCTATTGTTGATGGAACTGTTGAATGGCTTATCTGTCGGCTTGGTCCAATTTAGATTAAAAATCTGAAAGACATTCGCGGGTAGTTTTTTGAATTACTTGAGTGAGAGGCTTGAATTCATCGAAGTTTTTTTTGAATTCTCCGATTTCTTCGCTTTGGACTGCAAGAATTCTATTTTTGTGAGTGATGAGTTCGATGAGTTTGTCTTCAATGAGTTTGAGGTGATGGGTTCTGATGTCCTTGAGTTCTTTTTCCATTTATAAAAATAATAAAATGGATGACTTGAGTACAATAGTGGAGCCAATAAGCACTCTGCAGAAAATAACATTCGGGGAGAAGTTTGCTGAGTATCAGGTGTTGCGATGTAATCATCCTGGGTTCTTGCCCTTGATAATACAGATCGAGGCATTGATCACGGGGGGATGTCAGATGTGGTTCAAGATGTACTTGCATCAGGAGATCTTGGTAGGACATTTAAGAGACTTTTTAAGGAAGATGCTTCAGAACAGATTTGCCAACATTGCACAATACAAGGACAACATCGCCCTGGTGGTTAGCGATTTCATAATCATCAAATGTAAGTGTATGAATTTATTCAAAGTCGATGTGCCTTTAAATGAAATATATTAAAAGAAAGCCGAGAAGGATGGGTGGCTTTACATCACTATCGCTTATGATTACTAAAAATGAGATTATACATACTTAATATATTATATGAATTAAGACATTTATATCAAAAAACAATGGTTCATAAAGAGTCGAGAGGGGAAGGTCGAGGATTATTACATTTTGGACACCAAAGTGATATTCTGAGTCTAATATTTAGGAACTCTCCTCCGGTTCGTTTGGAAAGGTTTACTAAGCCAAAGCCAAACTCTTGAAAAATGATCCGATGAGGGCTGTGAAGGTGATTCCAAAGAGACTGATTGAAAACAAGGACAGATTCCTTTAGGAAGTAGAGATTCTGAGAAATCTGGATCATCCAAATATTATCAAGCTGTATGAGACTTTTGAGGATGTTCGGAACATCTATTTGGTCATGGAGTATTTTTGTTGAGTTGACATCAATTAGACTTTGCACTGGTGGCGAATTATTCGATTAAATCGTTACTCATGGTTATCTAAGTGAGAAGGATGCACAACAAGTGTTCATTCAAATCATGAGAGCCATCTCCTATTGTCACAGCAAAGGCATTGCTCATCGAGATTTGAAACCTGAGAATTTCCTGTATTACGATGACAAGCCAGGAAGTCTGTTGAAGGTGATTGATTTTGGATTGTCTCGCGTATTCAGACAATCAGGTTAACAGGAGAAATAAATCATGAAGAGTAGAACTGGCTCAGTAAATTTCCTCACTTGCTATCATAGGCCTACTATATAAGTCCAGAAGTACTCGATGGTTAGTATGATGAATTGTGCGATGTCTGGTCAGCTGGAGTCATTCTCTTCATTTTGCTTACAGGAATACCGCCATTCAACGGGAATAGCGATGGAGAAATCGTTAAACAAATCCGAACCGGCAAGTTGAACCTAGATATAAAGGAGTTGTAAGTCGTCTCTGAAAGTGCCAAGGATCTTATTTAGAAAATGATCTGTAAACATTCTCAAAGATTGAATTCTTCACAGGTTTTGTAACATGAATGGCTACAGAATCTCAATTCGAACGATTTAAAATTGAGTCTTAATTTTGATTCATTAAAGTAATTCACTTAACAAAGCAAATTGAAAAAAGTATGAAGACAATTCGTTATTCATAGATTGTGTTAGCTTAGATTGCAACTTAAGTGAGTTTGAATGAGATTGCTGAACTTAGCAAATTATTCTAAAGTCTAGACAAAGATGGCAATGGACAATTGAGTTTTGAGGAATTCAAAAATGGATTCAAGGAAAAGAAAAATGATTTGTTGCAATACTTCGAAGCTATTGATACTGACTCATCGGGGTCAATCGATTATAATGGTTTTGATAATTGATTTTTTATTCCTATAGAATTTATAGCAGCCATGATGGAGAGGACATTCTATTTGAAATAAGATAAATTGTTGCAAGCTTTTCAAACTTTTGATCTAGATAACGATGGCAAAATCACTGCTTAAGAATTGAAAAAAGTACTTGGAGGTATAAATATATATATAATTAGACAACGATTATTATAATAAAATTGATTCTAAGTTTTGGGAATCCTTAGTCAAGGATGGAGACTTTGATGAAGATGGAAAAATCGACTATTTGGAATTTGTTGAAATGATGAGTGATTTATGAAATATTTATTGATAAAATAATTATTATCTTAATAACACACATAGGTAAGTGAAAAATAATCATAATAGAAGGAATAGAAAAGATATTATATAGATGACAATCAATAACCAAGTTATTATCATTAAATAGGGATAAAATGTTAAAAATATTTGATATCCTAAATCATCTAAAAATATAATAATAAAGAATAAAGAATAATTAGAAACACCAGAATTACAGAATTGGAAATAGATACTAAACTATAAATTCATTAAGAAAAAGTGTTATCATGATTAAATATTGTTAATCCTCTTCCAAAATACAGGTATATAATTGACCTATTGTTAGTTGCTTGTCAATGAGAAAAGCAGCTATTTATCGATCCAAACGATATGGAACAATCATTGGAATATGGTTTTAGAATCCTAGTATACCTTTGTTTGGATTCAAGTATAAAAAAAATATTATAATTTAGTGAGTTACTTTAATTTACCCTTTGAAATATATCGATGTATTTGAGATATCAGTTCGTAGGCTTAATTCAAAAAGGTTTTAATTCTAAGAATCAGGTTAGTATCTTGAGGTTAAAATTTTTACTATAAATCGGCTAAAAAGGGAATAGTACTCCAGATTGCACAAACACACATTTGTTTTTTTACTTATCCTAACTCAGAATTAAGCCTTGATGCCAACAATTCCTCCCTTGAATGAAGCCAATAGAAATGATACTTACAAAGGGTCAAAATGTGAAAATTAAACGCATATAATATTATGAATAAAATACAAAACTCAACCGGTTAAATTTAGCCTTACACCTATTCCTCCATTAACAAGATAAGCAAATTTTTCTTTATTTGGTGCTACCCAATTCTAAAAGTACACTCTCTTTGTAATACGATATTAGAAAGGACGAGGAACTCCATTATAATAAACAGATTTGTGTTAGATTGCTACTGAGGATTCATCCCATACAAGCTATCTCAAATATCAGAACTATATTGATTATGCCAAGAGAGGCAACAGCTCCCTAATTAGAGATATTGCAAGAACATTTCAAAGTATTTATATGGCATAAAGAGATTAGGATAAATGGTTATTACATTTGTTGCGTACTTTATTGTAGCAATCCTTTCTGCAATATCACCTTATATTGCCAATGTTGGGTAGAGTTATTTCATCTACGACAAAGACAAAAAGAAACCTTCAGAGAGCAGTATGGGTTAGTTTGTGATTTTACAGTTAATCTACATGCTTGCCATTACATTAATCAAACCATATTAAATGTTTGAACAGGCAAAAATATAGTATATCCTTAGACTCTGCTGAGTGCCAAGATTCAAGGAGCCTTGCAATACAGAGTCATGTAGAAGTCACTAAGTTTTGCCATGTCTCTTTCAAAAAACTACTCCTTTGGAGAATTGCTAACCATCCTATAAGTGGATATCGTATAAGCCTCCAATTATTACATTTACTTGTTCAGTCTATGGACTTGCATTCCGTAATTGATAGTTGGAGGAGTGATCTTCTACGTTACTCTAAAAGAAAATAGCATAGTCCCTGCAACAGGGGCTGTTGTATAAGTATTGTTCGGATTAATTTTTGGCCATTATTATGGAATAATTCAAAAAAGGTTTATGGAAGCCAAAGATTAGCGTATAGAATTGGTGGATGAATCACTTCTCTATGCCAAATAGATTAAACTAAACTGCTTAGAAGATTACTTTGAGAAGAGAGTAATGATTATATATGCATAATTTTTTAGGTGTAGAGGCAAAGGAAAACTGAACTGAAATACTTAAGGCAGTAAGTTTGGATGGTTGTCGCAATCAAATTAGTGATGCTTGTAATAATGGTATTAAGTTGGGAAATAGCATTCATTGTAGCCTCCAAAGTCAATTTTTAAATCATCAGTACAATGATGTAAAATTACATTAGTATTGTTATGACTTTGGACTCATTGCCAAGTATTAAGAATTCGAAAATCTATTTTAGCTCTATTTAAGAATTATTAGATGTCATTAAATTCCATGAATAGAATTGAAACATTCTTTAAAGACAAGGATATTAAGATTCATAGCCAATAAAATGAGGCTAGCATCGAATTCAAAAATGTGAAAACAGGGTGGAAAAAGTAATAGAGTGAAGATACCATATACGACCTAGATCTGTCATAAACGGGCATGTTGTAAAGATAGGAAGATAAGACTTAATTCATAGTTGAAATTAATATGAAGGTCTTGCCAGGCTAATTTGTCGCCATTGTGGGCAGCTCAGGATGCGGAAAGTCTACAATTCTACGTTCATTGTTGGGAGAAACTTACGTTGATAATGGAAATATATCATATCATGGACAAATCAGTGTGGCTTCATAAGAACCTTGGATCATCAATGATAGCATAAAGAATAATATTACCTATATGGATATATTCAATGAAGTGAAGTATAAAAAGGTAATTGAATGTTGTTGCTTACAGTAAGACATAGATGGTTTTAAATATCAAGATAATACCATACTGATTGAAAAAGGAGATAATCTATCAGGTGGATAATAAAAGAGAATAAATTTAGCAAGAGCAGTATACAAAGATGCTGACATCTATTTATTTGATGATCCATTAAGTGCTCTAGATATTAAAGTGAAGTACGAAATTTAGCAAAAGTGTTTTGAAGGGTATTTGAAAAAAAAGACCAGAATTCTATTTACTAATTCATTGGCTAATTTATAGAATTGTGATATGATTTACATTTTTGAGGATGGGAAGATGATAAATTCTGGCACTTTTGCAGAATTAAAGAATATCAAGTAATCTCAAATCATAATCAACACATAAGAAAATAAAGAGTTATTGGATAAGCAATTCGAAGAGAAAGTATATAAGGCACCTCAGCATCAATTAGAAACACAAGCTACTCTAATATAGGAAGAAGATAGAAATTAGGGTAATGTGGACACTAAAATAATGAAAAAGATCTTTGAGTTTCAAGGGAAGTCGATGATGGTTATCATCATTGTATTTTATGTTGGTATAGTAATGGCATGTCAGTTATATGGGAATCAAGTAATGGCTGACGATTCAATGTATTAATCGTTATTATCACTATAGTCCAGATGAGGAATACAAAAGACTAGCTATCATTTACTATCCTATAATACAAATTCCAGCGGTTATTGCCAACATCACTATAATTTTGTATTTTCTTTTTAGGGGACTAAAAACATCCGAGCAAATTCATGTAGATGTCATAAAGAGTTTATTAAAAGCTTCGTTTACTAAATTTTACAATACTATCCTGATTGGAAGATTGATAAACAGATTAGGCAAAGACATAACAAATATAGATTATATGTTTCCCAATGAGATTTACAACCTTATTTTCAATATAATATCCCTACTCTTGCCTCTGGTAGCTAGCATCATTTATTTGAATCCAGTGGCAATACCAGTTCTGATAGTGTTCTTCCTTATTATGATAGCCCTCACTGTCATTTACTATAAATCACTTCGAGAAGTAAGTAGAATGGAAGCCATATCGAAAAGTCCAATCGTTTCATTTTATCAATAGATTTTGCGGGGAATATTGTTTGTGAGAAGTTGTTTACCACATCAGGAAGTCATAGATCGTCATTTGAAAAATGTTGATTTGGATTTGGGCAATCAAATAAATTTAAATGGATTATAATAATGGTATTAATCAATAGCAGGTACTGTAACTAATATATTCTAATCGCTCCTTTTTATTGTTTGTGTAAGTGTTATTCTTTACTAATATAGTTCTATGCTAAAGGCTCCACTCCATTTATGACATACTTGATTTTGTTGCAAATGTAGAATGTATCCCAATTATTGTTATTGGTGGCCATTTCTTATGGTAACATCCTTATTTATTGTATTTCTTTCGAAAGATGTTTACATTTAGCAAAGTAATGAGTTTTTTGTAATTTTTAGTTAAATTCCGTTAGAGGAGGAGGATGTATAGGATTATATTCAGGAGGAGTTGCATCACTCGAATTATTTGATTGAGTTACAGAATTGCAATTTTTAATATCGACCAAGAACCAAGCAAGTGTTAAAATAATTATCGTTATAAGTGAATAGTGCTGAAAAAGTAATTGATTACAATAATGCAACTAGATTGGGATTGTTGGAAGAACAGGGGCTGGAAAAAGTTCGATAATTATGGCATTGACGTAGATGTTAGAATGTACTGATGGGAAGTTCTTTGTTGAAGGTCAAAGTGTTAGACAATTGAGATTATAGCAGTTGCGTTAAAAATTCAGTGTGATTCCATAAGAACCTCTTATTTTTAAGGGAACTCTTCAACAAAATCTAGATCCCTTAAACTAATATGATATCAAATAGATTGAAGCTGTAGCTTAGACTTGTTAATTGTTTAAAATAGATGCTCTAAAAAAGAAGGAATTGCAAAGTGAGATTCAAGTGTTTGGATAGAATTTGAGTGTGGGTGAAAAATAACTAATCACGTTGGGTCGTTGTCTTTTAAACAAACGGAGTATTGTTTTGGTAGATGAAGCAACTGCAAATATTGATAGCAAAACTGAAGAAATGATAAAAGATGTAGGAATATGATTGTTATATGTAGATATTTGATAAGCACTTCGCTCAGTCTGCGATGATCATGATAGCACACAAAATAACAACAATAATGAATTGTGATAAAATCATAGTACTATCAGATGGATGTATCACGGAATGCGATACTCCCAGTAACCTTCTGCTCAACCCAGATAGCGAATTCAAGAAGATAGTGGATTTGATCAAATAGTCTGAACAACTATGAGATATACATATATTTTAATTTAATGATAAAAGACGAGGATTCCACCTTTAGGATATTTGTAATACTACTCAACGCTTTGTCCTTTATACTCACCATACTTATTCTGCTGTTTATATGCAGAATAAAACAGCTTCATGAACGACAAGGTCACACGATTCAAATTGTTCTCATTTTAGAATGCATGTTCTCATTTTTCTTAATACTTTCACAATTTTATTTCGACTCACCTGACACCTATGAGACAACATTTTATGTGGACAAATAAGGCAAAGGTTGCATAGCAATTGGCATACTCAATATATTCACATCATTCGCTTATTTTACGAATATCAACCTTTACTCCTTCGAATCCTTGGGCATATTGAGCTCGAAATTCAGCAAGAATTATAAATTGCGACATTTGGCTGTTGTGTCGGGTTCCACTTTTTTTGCTCTATTGGCATTCCTATCCGATGCCATAGGATTCAATAAAATAGGCATGTGTTCCTTACTCCCTGAAAATCTGTTCACAGCATTCTTATTAATACTCACATCCATCACCTTCATTATAATAGTTTGGACTTGTACATAAATTCATAGACTAAGAAAAGTACTAGGCAAAGACTTGACTTCACGGATCTAAGACAAAAAGTACAAAGTGAATTTGATTTACATCATAACTTTCCTGATCATTAGAATACTACCGGTATCAATCTCCTATTGATTATTATAGGTTTTGATCTTGACAATTATCTCTCTTGCAGATAGCGATACAGAAACATACACTGTTGCTTTCTATGTGTTGGCAATCCCTATGTCATTAGGAGGAGTGTGTTTGAGTTCGATCAGATCTCAAGAGCCAACAATTCAGGATTATTTGACCAGAAAACTGCAAAAATAAAAATCTGGAATTGTCGAACTTTCCTTACCCAAAATGGAAGCCAGAGCCTTGAGTAACTCCATTTCGAATTTGAGTGCAGAATCCTTGATTATTAAAACACATTATCTCTCTTACCTACAAGGAACGACGAGAGACAACAGTGTGGCCTATCGGAAGACCTGTTTGGACAACGAAGAATTGTATAAATTAGATTTATAATAAGAGTTGCAAAACTGACATCTCAGATGGAAAATAATCAGATTAAGTTGAAACTCAATGAATTCCTCTTTATATTCAAAATAATTAGAGAAATGAACAGCAGTTATATAAAACCCATCACGATTACGAATTTAACACATTATAACATGAAACACATGAGGTAGAAGGTCTTCTATTTTGATTGCGATTCTGACTTAAATGCCTCCGAAATCGTATGCACCAGTTATGCAGAATCCGTTTTCATTTAAATACACTCAATCGAACAATTTATTACCTCATTTGATGAATACTTTAATAAATAATTTGTAGAATAATTGCAAAACTCTAAACTGAAATCATAAACTAATACCCTAACCACTTACGATGGAGAAGTACTTATCTCCATTATTAATAATTAAGCCAAGAGATACTTGACAAGGCATTTGTTGTCAGCTATTTACAACTTAAGCACTTCTGCCTAAAGATCATTCATCCCCCCCATGATTGGACTCTACTCAATTGTGAATGAGAGCAATCAGTACTCAACCCTCATTTAGAGGAACCTCCTCAATTCCATTGTCTTGGAGCAGTAGGGCTTCAAAATCTAAGGGTTCTTCACCTATTAGGTGGGCCAAGTCGACGAGGAAATCAAGGGGGGAAGCGATACCTATGCCAAGATGAAGATGAATCCCAAGGTCAAACAAGAATTTCTCAACACCCTCAATCAGGACTTGATGATCCTAAGGGATCAGTTTTTATGGGGATACTCCTTCTCCGTGATCTATTTGGAGGCCGAAGAGGGAATCAACATGCCTCCAAATATGTACAAGACTCGCAATGGGTATGTGGTTGCAAGTCTAGGAGGAATTTTAGATTAGTTCTGGATTTCCAATAATGAAACAACTGCCAACCCAGAACTGTACGCATCGTAATTAGCTTAACAAATTGATTTATTATTATGATAGCTCTTGCTTGTTAATTATTTATAATCATTAATTCATCATGTCAAGTAATTGATCATATTGATAAGCATCCAAATTGGCCAAATCTTGTTCATTCAAACCCAACTCAGATTGCAGTTATTTCAATTCTTTCTGTTCACTTTGATTCAAGCTCTTGTCTAAATTCAATAACAATCGATTGTATTGGCTCTCAGTCAATTGCTTGGAATTGTATTCTCCATGTTTTTTCTTGCTGCTTACATTGAATTCTCCAATCAATTATTATTTATATCCTTTCAATAAGGCTTATTACTTATATTCTTTAATAATTTATTGTTTATAGTCAGATAAATATTAGTGTAATTATGCTTTTGGCATAACTAAAAAAGGTTGTTCTTTTTTTTAGTTTTAATTATTATTATTGTTATTATTATTGTTATTGTTATTATTTCCATTCATTACTCCTAGTACATCTTATATTGATTTTGAGTCATCTTTCAGTTATGATTAATGTCTCACTATTGGTTAATCTTAATTACCAAACTAAAAACTCAAATTACTCAATAAAGAATTATCCTTTTATTAATATTATTATTATGCATTATTAGGCTATTAATTCCTTTGATTATTGAATTAAATTCCACTTTCCACTCCCCAATATTTTTCAACTCTACTTTTTTGTTTATTTTACCTCTGATCATTTTACTTATCATTATTCTTCGAAATCACAACATTTTCAAATTGGTTTAAGCCATGAACAACTTAAAATGTTGTTTGCTTTTGCTCTTTATTATCCTCCCAGAGTTTCTCCGCCTTCAATCTGGCTTATTCAATCACAAATTCATCAAGAGTGTCCTTTTCTATTTTCTCCTTAGGTTTCATATCATAAACAAGTATTTTGAAACCAGTATTTTGTGACATTTTGAGTAGGACCCAACATATTTTAGCAGTGAAATAATCCTATTCCCCCAATTTATATTTAACATTATGGATCTTCTATTTAACTCCTACATCTTGAGGCCATTTCTGTTGAATCTTCATCAATTCTATTTCTTCCAAAATGTAATAATAGAAATATTATGCGATTTGATGACCACAATCGCAATACAATTATATTTTTCTAGGAATTTCATTTCTCATATCCTCTTGAATCTAACCAATGAGCAATTCTCTGGTGGGATTCTTTGGAAATTTGTAAGGCTGAAAAATCTGAGATATCAAGTATTAACCTAACTCATAGACTTCATCAGGTGTGGTACGAGCTATGGTTTCTTCAAGGAAATCAATCATTTTCAATCTCCTTGCTTCAATGTCACAAATCAAGGCGATCCATCTCTCATCATAATTTATTGCCATAATAACCTACTCATATTCAGTGTAATTTGCTTTTGGGCCGTCCAAGTTGTCAGAGAGAAAGAAGAATTCAGCCCTTTTAGAGAAACGATCATAATTTAATACTTTAATGCATAAGACACCTAATTTCAGTTTGGCTTGCATTTTAAAAGTGCTTTTCCTGTCCTCAAGGTAATCATGTAAATAATGCATAAAGATTCCCATAATATTGATTGAAACTGCTACTTGGTTCTTGAATTACATGAATTCTCCCCACTTTACTTGTAAGTTGTAGCGTCTCAATAAGATGTCGCCGTCATGATGTCTCTCGTCTCCTTTATCCTCTTGTTCCAATAATTCCGCATATTCCTGAACATCGAATTCGTGCTACAATGGCAATTCAAATTTGAGTATCTCGTCAGGTTGATCTATTAAATCGTCATCATTCTATTTCGCATCGTAATCCTCCACATTTTTACGATACATCCTTTTCAAATACTCTGGTAAGACAGCTTCCCATGAACCATCCTTGAAGATAGCTGCTTTCTAACATTGTATACTGAATTTGTTGTAAGTGTTCCAGATAACATCATTAATCCTCCTCATATCTTCATCCATATAAAAACCCTATAAGTCGATCATCTTTCTACAAGTATGACACATAAAGTTTGCATAACTTGAATAATTCTATTTCTCATATCGTTGATAGAGTTCATCAAGATCGTAAATACAGGTCGGTTTTAAACATGACAGATTTCTCATGGGAACTATTTACTTCCTTCCACTGAATTCTGTGAAGATTGGAGTTTCGATATAATTTAGAGTCCGATCATAGAAAAAGAATCTCCTAAGCATCCCTTTTTTGGCTCTCCCATAAAACTTTTTATTAAATTCTTCTTACTTTTAATTTTAAAGCATTTATTATTACATCTCAAAATTAATTATAAATAAATATAACAATTAATTTAAATCAAACTTAAGTCAACAACACTTATTGTTCCTTTATTCTATTTCTCTTGCCTAGACGATACATGAATAAACCAAATCCTAGAATAGCCAGAGACCCTACAACAATCATCACTATTGCCCAGACTGGAAAACTCTCTTCTTTTGGAATTGGGAGCATGTATTCCTCTATCTTCACCTTCTCATCTAAATACATTTAATAGTCTAGATTTGACATCCTAAATTTCACATTATCTTAAAAGAAGTTCCCATCAATGCATAACTAAGGGGATCTTTAGATTGTGTAATGTTGGAGTTAGGTTCTATCTTCAATTGATGTCAACAAATGCAACTTCCCCTTACTACTATACACGAGCGACGTTATCTAATAGATTGGATCACCCACTTTTTGGGGAGAAGTCAATCCAACAATAGCATTATTAGGTTTTGAATTGCTGCTTGGTATTGAAAGATCGTAAATTAATAGCAAACTTTGATAAGCCGAATAATAGATCAAGTGCAAGAAATTCTGGCTCACAAAAAAGATTTTGAATGCACCGAGCAAATACCAATCTCCATATTATTGATATACCCCATTAAATTAAAATTTACTAACCTCACATAGTTCTCCTCTTTAGCAATCATTTTGGAATTGAAATGAATATGATGCACTGTTTGTAAATATTATGATCATCTCATCTTTCCTTAACACAAACCCTGCAGAATATTATTGCTATTGCACATTGATCCTTTATTCAGCGATTATTGGTTTAATCAATATATTTGTAGTATTATAATTTGATATTTTAGAGGTTTTAGATATTGATCTCGTTTGTAATTCCGGATTGCCCTCAAAATCCACGGAAATAAATTAATATATATCATTCTGTAGATGTCTAAATTCCATTTAAATCAATGAAGGGTTCTATTCAAATTTCTGGATCTATTCAAAAGATTCTAACATAACTGCATCTCCTTTGGTGTCATAAACCTCCACTACATCTTCAATATAAACAAAGAAATAATTCTTATGCAGATATACATTCTTTATCATTGAACTAAATTCAAGCCTATTCTCCAAAAAGTCACACTTGTATTTTTGACATTAAACTATTCTTAATTCAATAGTATCATCTGTCAAAACTAAAATATAGATATTATGTCCATCAATTAAGAAGAGTTTATGGAATGTATACATTAAGTCCAATTAAAATTCTTCTATGATTGATAGATCTTCCTTCTTAACTAAAATAAGCTTGTTATCCATCATTTAAACTAATGTATCATCATCGAACTCTTGTAAGAAAGGACTAAACTCCAAGGTTTCCTACTGTTTAGCCAAAACAGGATTGAATTACACCTTCTTAGATGAATAAGCTAATTCCACATCCAGAGCTTAACCACTGTACCAAGCTTGCCCTAAGTCTGCGCAATGTTTTTCATCACCACTTGACTTATATGTTAGATTAAATGAGTCATTAATTTAAATTAATTTAACTCCTCTGTTTACTATATTAACAGGAATTGTTGTGATTAATTTATTAGACGAATCATTATTAATAACGAGATTTAAGCTAATCTATTTTGAATATTCAATCTACTGATAATTTTCATTTATTTTAGTACTTACAAATAGCGATCCTTTAATATACAAAATTTATAAATTCTACTAAGTGTTTCCTTTATCTGTGATAAAGACATATTCTCCAGTAGCTGAAATCTAGGCCATAAATGTTACATCGATTACACTAAAGAGAGAATCTAAACTACTTGATTTGGTTGAATAGATTAGGACTGCATGCTTTTATCGCTTAGTATTCCACCCTATAAGGTAAAACAAATTATTGATGAACGAATATTACAAGGTATTGAGATTAATTTTCGAATAGCCATTAATTCCTATCTATTTCTATAGATAAATGTTCTTCTGATTTTTATAATTGTAAACCTTTACATCATATTCCTCTTTGTCCTTGATCTTACCAAACCTAACAAAGTGATTGTCGAAAATAGCTAAATTAGTTTCTTCGTAATCATTTTCAATTTCTATGAATTAAATAAGTGTTTCCTTATTGTATGCTATGTTATAAATGTACAACGTTTTAGCTACTTCTAAAAACACATAGTTTTTTTAAGCGTATGATGCGTATAATCTGTCAGCTTGAACTTCTAGGTTTAATAAGAGTTTCTCTTTTCCAGCAACAGTTATCGAGTAGATCTTAACATCCTATGCAGTTAACGCAAATAAGTGATAACCATCTGTGGCTATCTATTTTACATCACTCTCCAAGACAATTGCGGTTAGAACAGCAAGCTTTTTGTCTTTGTATAGGTAGGAGTATATAATTATTGTTGAGTCTCCAAAAACAGCAAAGAATAGAGAATCTTCATTGTACCACCAAAGCTAATTTTAGGTTGCTGACAATTTGATAAATTCTGATTTTGTAAATAGTATGTGGCAATTAAGGTGGATTGGTGCAAAATTGGTGCAAGAATAACCAGTTAATTAAAGATTTGAATCTTATTCCACTAAGTATAATTTTGGTTAATATCTTCTTTATAATATCTCTCTGTAAATAATATACCTGGATTCTGTTACATTTTTCAAGTATGCATACTTAAATTGATTAATAGTTATGTTAAGGATTGAATTAGGTTGGAAATTGTACTGCAAATTAGATCCTTAAAACACAGGCCTTAACTTCGCTTTAGCATTGTCTTAATATACTCCTGAAGAGATCAAGCCTTACGAATATTGTTGTGTTAGTATTTGATCATAATTAATACTCTCAGTCTTATAGAAAATTGTTATTTCACAATCCCATGGATCATCACCCTATTAACTTATATCCACTTTCAGATATTTCTAGTCTATTATCTGATTAAATGTAACTTATAAGAAATATTCCCTATTGATTGCATAAGCATATGTCATATTATCACTAACAGCAATAAATCCATTAGAGTAAGGATATGTAATTAATTGATAACTTTAGTTCCCCAAATTTAAGGTCTAGGTTTTTGCCAATTATAATGTAAATAAGGTAATATCTTGCTTTTAGTGAAGTAGTACGCTTCCATTGGCTAGGTAAATCTTGTTGGATTCATTCAAATTCAGATACTCCTTACTCTAGCCCTCTTCATCCATCTATTTGTATTTTATCTTTGAGTTGGTCATAATCACATATGTGTTGGTATAAACATCATAGTCATACCCTTGAATGTCGTCCATCTCTGTGTCAATGGTCTTAATTAATTCCCAATTGTCATTCTTGTATTCAACGACAACTATTTCACCAAAGGCATTCATTATGCTAATCTAGCCATTGGTGTGAGTTTAGAAATCTCTAATTGACAATTTGAAATTGTCTTTTTATAACAAATTGACCAATGTCTATTCATCTAATGATTTTAGAAACTTAAGTTTTTCTTGTTCTTCTATATATAAATCAATTTTATTAACAGTCCCCCTTATCAAATACGAGTCAATTTAATCAAGTTTTCGAAATTCAGAATTGGGTTTTTCTATTTCTAGTTATTTTACGTTCTCATTCTACATAATGCTAAAATAACTATTGTTGAGAGTATCTTAGCATTCTATGATTACCAAAGTTTTTAATTCAACAATGTCATAGCAAATAGAAGCTTGTTTTTCTTTGCATGCAGATACATGCTTGATTTATGGGAGAGTTTAGTAGATACCCACATTTTAATATAGGAAATAGCTTCCTTAATGAACCAAAGCAGTCAGGTGTTAAATAGGATCTCTACTTTTGGTAGATTTAAAGAGCTTTGAAGAAATTGTTTACGAATTGGCTTTGTCACCAAATCTTGATTCTGAATATAGTTAAAGTGGAGCTGCAATTACAAAGTCTTTGTTTGATTCCTTAAAAGTAAGGTTTCTATAATTCTGATTTAAAAATATTTAGGAAAGTGGAACATTGATAACTTCTTTGTAGGTACCAGTTAGAAACATGGTATTGTTGTAAAGTAGAGAGCACGAGTTTACAATCATCACAAGACAGGAAAAAAGGAGTTGATTTGTCATCATATTGTAAAAAATTTAAAAGTGGGAAAAATGATTTGTAGTTTTACATTAATTGAGTGTAGAATGTATAATAATTATCATTCTTCATACAAACATTTTATTAATATAATAATCAGGCTACAATAATAGATCTCTACTTTGTTATAGCTTTGATTATAATTACGTGAATATTAAATTTCAATTTTTTTGAAGTTTCTCTAGTAATTGGATATATTATAATAAATCTAATTTCACAAATTAATTAAATAGTAAATTAAATAGTTTTTAGTTCTCGATCTTACCTTATAGTTTAAGGGTCAATAACAGACAAAATCAACCAGATTCCTTTCTATGAAAAGAATGCCTCAACTAAATTTGAATATAAGGGAGATTTTCAAATTAATTAAATTTTATTATATTTATAATGTTATAATTGTTGCTCAACTTATTTGGCATTATGTTATCTCATTAATTTACGATCTATAATTCAATACTATCTGCTTATTGGCGTCCTCACCAAAGAATACAACTGAATAATCCTATTATGTATGTAATATTGTATGTATGGGTCCAACAGAGTAGGATGACGTTTCGGAATTTCCTGATAATTGATAAATACTTATTGCTGAAATGTTATTTGGTGACCAATAGGTTAATGCAAAGTAATTCTTATATACATCTAACCTGTTAAAAGCAGGCCAATCTAGATATTAATTGAGAGTAGTCTTAATATAAAATCTAGTAGATTATTCATTCTCAAAGATTACTGTTGCTATGTAATGATCGTTATTGTTAGATGCAACTAAGACATCAAATTAATTACCAATTTTAGAAATTATTCTACTAGTCATAAATATTTAATTTCTTTTCATATATATTAAAGGTCTCAATTCTACCCTACCCTTATTAATAGGAACGAGTAAGTTTTATTTCAATTAGCAATCCACCCAAAATAAGCCATTATCTCTATCAGCCAAAAACATTTTTGCTTTCAAAATTCCATCTTCCTCATATTAATGAATGCTGAAATCAATTATGTCAATAATATAGGTCAACCCAAAATAATAATAATCTAAATAATAAGATGGAAATTTCAAGTAAAATGTATCATCTGTTAATACGTAATTCATAAACATTACTCTACCCATATCATTAGAAGTGAATGGATAATCTCTTTAAGCATTTAACACTACAAGTGTATTTCCTACCACTTCCAGCTTTGAGAACTTATCTCCACAATTCTATATTTCCTAAGTCTAACCTACTTGTTTGCAAACGTTGTTTTAACAGTTATATGCACTTATATATGGGTATACTCCATATAAAAGACATACTGAAAATACATGTTGTCCATCTGGATGATTGATAACTCTTTAGCATGAATAATTCAAAGAATCTTCTTCTACAATAACTGCTAAAGTTTCTAATTCAGAGTTTGTCTTCAGGATTCTCTTAGTTGTTTATAAGTAATAAGTTTAATCTTGTCCTCGAACTCCCTCTGAGAATCCTTCCTTCTGGAATGAAAATTATGATTGGCGATTGCATTTTACATCGCCAAAGGCTCTTCCAAAGACAATAAATGTTGAAACTAACAAAATTGAAATCATTTCTGTTTAATTTCTCTAAATTTGTGGAATTAAATAATAATTGTACAATTTTCGAGTTAATTATTTTTACACAATATTTTAAAAGTATAATTGTTTTAATTATATCTTAATTGCTGTATATATTTATTTCTGTAAATATAATTATTTAATATTTTTAAACTTACTTTTTAAAAATCAAGAAAATGACTTTGAAAATCCAAAAAGTCAAGAACACATACTACTATATCATAATTTATTTATGACATTTCAAAATAAATAGACATCAAAAGTTACGATATCCTAGTGTTTACTACCAAGTCAATCCAAAAACCTAATACTATTTGACTTTAACTTTAAGCTATTTACTCTGACAATTAGTTTTAGAATATTATATTATTATATAATATAATAAGTGAAGCGATTATTAAATCCAGTATATTTCCTCTTAGAAATATCTGTTTAGTAAAGCAATTTAATACTTAAATGAATTATATCAAAATTCTATTTGATATCATTAAGACAGAAGTTGATTGAGTCAAATTTGAGTTTCTATTTGGAATTTAATATTAATGTTTGATATTTAAAAATATTATATTAAAATATGTTGTTCGTTCTTTCCAAATTTTATGAATGGAGAATAAATACAATCAATTTATTTTGATTCAGAAAACCTGGATAGAAGATTTATAAATTTAGATAAAATGTAAAAATTAAATATTTACATCTCTAAATCATTTCATCTTTATTTATTAATTTAAATAAAATAATGCAAGAGTTCATCTTATAAACACCAGGATTAGTTCAAATGCTTTATGCAGCCTACTACTTTGTCAAGCGCATATATACTTTAGAATAGGTTCAAGAAGTAATAGCCCAAGTGAAGGCTATTCAAACAAAGGACACGAAAACCTTAGTTGTTTCCCTCAAGCATGAGTTTCAATCTGAATTACTGAGGGAACTCTTTTATTTCTATTACAGAGCTCTTAGTTTTTAGAAAGCCTTCCTTAACACCGAAGACTTATAGGAAGATGGGGTTGAATAAGACATACTTTACTTAGAGGCCCTTATAAGTGTAAAGCCTAAAGGGTACTGATACTATTATGAATTATTATACAAATATTTAATCTCATATATAATAGAATTTATTTATATAGACAGGATCAAAGAGTCGTATCTCATTATAAATAGGAAACACATAATTCTAATAAAATTAAGCTGAGAGAAATAAGATTTATTTTAAATAGTAATATTCACGATGGAATATTATTCTTAGTATTAAATAACATTAATAGAGCCAGATAGAGGCAAAAAATTAAATTAAATTATTTAACATAATTTCTTGATTATAAATTATTTTTAATGATACTTACAGAATTATATATAAATATATGATTATAAAGTGATAATAATATTTTCAATAATTATCATATTCCTCTTAATATTAATGGGAACCTTTTTTGGAAACAATAACCCAAACTGAAAAACCAATTAGGAACCCTATTCCAAATATTAGGAGGGCTCGTTTTGGATGAAACCTGAGCCAAGCCAAGGCAATTGTTATTAAAGTCAAGGGTACAGATATGAAGAAACTAACAATAGCAAACATTAAGGTAGACAATTCAGCCATGAATCGACCCAGAAGAGGGAACCATGAAATTACATAGACAACAGGTGAAAAGAATAACATTAAGCCAAAGAACTAAATATAATTGAATTATCCATACCATTAGTAGAAGTCCTAAAAACCTAACAGCATAGGTCAATTTACGGGATTCCTTGAGCTTATGATCAAATACTTCATGAATTGTTAAGACTTTTTCTATTAACCAATCAATGTATTTAATTGGTTCTAATAAATGTTTGAGCTAACGTTATAGTGCATTTTCATCATCTTTCTCCTTTAAAATCTACGATAAATCTTATCCAACATAGATAGAATGATCGCTCCCTTTATCATCGTAATCGTTAAGCAATTTGCTTTCATTAACATGTAATGAGTATGGTTCAAAGGTGTTGCCCTTTTATTGAGATACAACTGTTGCATCTCCACACTTCACCTTTTAAAATTTAATTCTTTGATCTCCTACTGTGAAGTTGCCATTTACTTTGTTAAAATAAACATACTCGTCCTCTATTTTACTAGGTTGATAATAGATTATAGTCTTACACATATTCTTGGGTTTTTTTAGGGAATGCTTGTTAACAAGCACTGACCCATTCTTGTGATGGTTGAATGACTTAAAAGTTTCTAGCTTACTTTAATTAGAATTTTGTAAGTAGATAAACTCCTAAATAAACCTCCTTAGAGTATTTAGATTTCTTTTTGACTGTCCAGTCCGATTCGTTATTTGAGAAGTTTTCATAACTTTCATGCTTAATTGCAGACCATTCAGGGACAAAGAATACTTTGACTTTTTTATCCTTGCCAACTCCTTCAGTCTCTTCTTTTCTGATCCATTAATAAGTTTCAACTTTGCGTTTCAGAACCAAACAATTATCCACCTCAACCCCAAAATCTTCATCTTTAAGAATTTCATTAGTTCTTGTCTGACCATTTATGTGGACTAACCTTTTCTCTAAATTAGGATTGACTTCAAGACAATTGGTTGAAACACATTCCTTCTCTGCCCTTTCTAAATTTACTTCATTCTCAGCAGCTCTTTAGATTTATTAATAGTATACTTGTATTCGTTTAGCCATAAGATAGGAAATGCCAAAATGAATAATATAATCCCAGCTAAAAATTCAACTAATGGACTAACTTCTGATTCTCCAGCATATACTTTTGATGATCCTTTCGAAGTAGAGGATGATGAAGAAGGCTTTGAAGATGATGATGATGCTTTAACTTAAATAAATAAATACGTACATCCTTTGGTTCCGCTTTTCGTTCCTCCTGATTTCTTGCAATCTGCAATCTGTAGCAAAAATAGTGCTATAAATAGAGTTAATAGTAATTTTCGACTCATTCTTGTAGGTCTTTAGATATATATGTTGTTTTGTTAAATGAAATATTAATATTTATAATCAAAAATTGGGGGTTTAAATGAAAAATTCATAATTCTAATACTTTTCATACATTCTCTATTGTCATTTCAAATGTTAAATTGTGTCAATATCACATTTAACAGAAAGCCGATACTCTCCAAATTATCATAGTTTAGAAAGATCAAAGCTAAATTTGATTGTTTTGTTAAAAAATTTATTATCTTTGTTTTATATATTTCCTTGAATACTTATAAATTACTTCTTAAACCTAATGGTTTTGTTACCCTATATATCATTCGAATAATGATACTGTAAAAGGTTAAATTCATTGAAAACGAAAAAAATTAAAAAATTAACTTCAATCCCAGTAGAGATTCAAATATTGAGAGGAAATAATTTAAAGCTATAAAAGATTTCAAATTAACAACATATACAATAATAATCCTAAAGTAATAAAATTATCTCATAAATAAATTCCTAAATTAACCACTTAATGAATATATATAGTGCTATTTTAATAAGGAAAAAGAAATTGAAAAGTTTTACATATTAATATTAGAATATTGATATTTATTTATTTGTTATCATTTTGGAATAATTCTATTTATTAAATCAAAATATCGCAAAATTATGTAGAACGACAAGATGCTTACGATGATCATAAGGATAGTATCTTTAGAGTTTTTATTGGGGTCGTTCTTTGGTTTCAAGATTGAATTACTGTGAGTCTTTTGCAAGTTCAACTAAATTGAATATTTAATAAATGATTACTAGTTGCTATTCATTTTGTGCCATCTCTTACTACAACAGTTCAAAATTAGGTGGGTTGTTGCTGGCTTGAAATCTGGTTTAATCAAACTTGGGTTCTGTGGTGGTGTTGTGAAAGTCCAATTCACTATTCTATTTATGAAGTGACTAAAACACTTGATCAGGACCTCCACAACCCTGTGATGTGATCTTTCTGTCCATAGTTTAGATGGCTATGCTGATTTTTTGGTTATCAGATGGTCTGCTTGGATCTTTGAAAATGGCTACTGGGTCTTGGATTCCTGAGAAAATTGGAATAGAGATCAATTGCAATTTCTCATTGAATTCATTACTCATAGCATTTTCAAGGACTTTGCAGTGGAGAGTGACATGCACTACTTGGTTTTGTTTAGGCTAGACGATTCCGATGGCTGGTCTTACTAAAAAGATATTTCGATTGGAGGCTTTGAACTAAGAATGTCATCAACAATAGTACTTTGAAAGCAATAGGAGTGAGAGTATCATTGTAGAGGACGATGTTTGATTGCATGTTATCGTACTTGTTGTAGTTGAACTCAACATGATTAGAACTTAATCGAAGTAGTTCCATGTAAAAATTAATTAATTATAAATTTATCGAATAGAATTGTTTCAAATAATAAAAATAAATCAAACTAATTTATTTAGTGAAGGAGTGAGATTGAATTGACAAATATTTAAGCAGTTCATAATTTAAATAATATTTAAAAAATGAGTTAAGTAGTAGGCAAGTTAAGATGTTGGGAATAGCTTAAAAAGTCAATATAAATTAAAATATGATTATATATATAATTTTGGTAAGTGTGGGATATGCGCAATTAGGGTACGTACAGGAGGTGATGAATCAGTTGGTAGACTAGGAATGCAGTTTGAAAAATAGAGTAGCTTATGGACAATAGAAGCTTCATTAGTTGACTGGAATGTACTTTTGCGATTCTTATTCAAAGAGAACATGTTGCAGCTAACAAAATCTGGAGGAATTGAAATTTAAGTACGCTTGATTATAGTATGTCGTAGATGGTACAGAGAATAGCAATAAGCAGTTGAACTCAGTCAGTAATGTTAGGAGATATTTACTAAGACTATTTGTTCAGATTGTGATGGCGATATTGGATAACAAATAAGAGTTGGGTTCTGTCCTCACTATTGCAACCAGATGTATTAGGCTTGTTGGAGAGACTTATTCTAGTACGATGAAAAAACTCAGAAATTGAGACTTTGTTATTAAGTAAGAACATTTATAATTCTAGAATGACGTGTTATGTTCTGAACTAAGAAATATTGTGAATAATGGGGATCAATTCTGCAATTCATTAGGATACAAAGTGAATTCCTATTCGAATGTAGAGGAATGGATAGAAAATAAGTATTTGAATCTATCCACATCGCCCTTGTGTTGGGATGGCACTCCTTCTCATAGAATTTGGAGTTCTAGCACCAAATTACCAGAAACGAAAGTGGGTGGTGGAAAGACCAAGAAGCAAAATAACAACAAGGAGTAAAAATCTTACTTAGGACTTTACATTTTTGGTGGTTTAGTTGTAGTGGTTGTAGTGGTTGGATTGGTTATTGCATATAAAAAGTTGAGAAAATGATTAATAAATGTATGTATTTTAATAATGTCACAACTTCACCTACAATGCTGGCACTTAATCAATGTCTGGATAAGAGAAAAGATGATCATATTTCCATTTGATAAACTAATTAGATTCTGATAGATTCTCTGATTGCCACTTGATGAGTGGATGATCAACATGATTAAGGGTATATTGATAAGTGTAAAATGGTTTTTATTCTTTCGTTGTAATTGATAAACTATACGTCTGATGAGGCAACATCTTTATGGGATTCTTGAATTCAAAGTAATATAGGTGTCCATCCTAAATTGTCAATTTTTCATGTTCCAATCTTTTTTTTTCTTTAAGAATATATTTGGTTAGATCATTTCCTAAATGTAACTTGTATGTTATTAAAAATGAAGATTTGCTTTGTGAATCATAATTTGTAGAATTATAACTGCCCTTGTATAACATAGGCTAGTAGATTCCAACTAAATACAAAGGCGTGTCTCTGATTTGGAATTAATTGATTCTGATTATGTTATTATTGAAGACGCTTGGTTGGCTCAAACCCTCGTCAGCTGAAATATATGATGATAAAAATACTAATACAGATTTTCTTCAATCTATCGATTCTTTGACTTTGAGTCAAAAATACCCTATTGACACAATCTAAATGGTTTAGCACTTCCTTTTATAGATGTGGAATCTTTTCATTTAGTTGGTCTTTGAGTCCAATGAGCTTTTGTTTGCTTTAACTCTCTTTTAATGTTACTTAATTTTTTTAAATGTCCTTCTTTTCCTTTAAAAGATATTCTCTTAAATCTTCAAGGTCTTCTATGCCGAAGTCATTGATGCTCTTTAAGAATTTGTAGGCATATTGATTAATTTATGGATCGTTGACGAAATTGCTGATAATGATCCTCAGTTCTTCTTCCAAGAGATTCAATTAATTAAGGACTGTTTTCTTGAATTCACGATAGATGTTGAATGTTTCCAATCCCAACCTGTCCTGTGAGAATTCATTGACATTGGAATTGCGTTTGAGTAAAAGATCAATTTATTTCATGTAAATGATGTCTTTGGAGTGTTCCACATGGACCTTGACGCAGGTCGAACAAAAGTAGTGCAATTCTTTGCATTGTTCATTCAAACACAAGTTGGTGATTGGCTTTTCAGGGTGCTTCATGCATTTGATCAACTAGAATCGTTCAATAAAATTCATATAATTACTAATGATTATATTGATGTTAAATAGTGATCAATAAAATAATATAAGAATTGATTAGGTTGTTATTAAAAGAATTTCAGTTTGAATTAAAATATTTGAATTTTGAGAAATCTGCGGTCATTTCATTTAGTAACAGTAAATTTAATTGATGTGGAGCTGAAGACAAAATACTGGGTAACAGTATAATTGATATTCAACTTAACTATATGAAATACATATTGATTGAAATCAGTGTCTTTGGTTTAGTTTAATTTGGAGTCTACGAACATAAGTTTCCACATCAAAATTTTATTAGATATTTGGTTTATTCTCTTTGTTAGAGCGCTCCGAATGATATTGGTTGAGGGGAGCTTGTGCTTGAGTGAATTGAGAGTATCTTCTCTGCGTAATTTGAAAATCCCTCTGGTTAGCTATTGATTGAGCTTGGAATTGGAGGTCAGGTTGGCAATCGAACTTGTGTTTGGGCTCGTACTTCTTGTGCCAATCCGTATACTTGTTTGGAGTGTATCGCGTGGTGTATTCTTGAAGCTGGTTTTAATACTTAGAATAGGATCTGATTGGATATTATTACATGCGAATAAATATAATTAAATTAAATTATTAGATATGGTAAAGTTGCTGTCCAAATCACCAGTGGCATTAAATAGTCCAACCCTGTAACAATGGGACAACAGTTTCAGAGAGAATTACGAGATGTATTAAACAGAGATTGACAAAAATACCTATGCATTGCAGAGAAGCATAAGGGGATTCTGGATATTTGGAAAGGCATTCTACCCTGCTTTAACTCAGCATTACAGTTAGAAATTAGAGCTATACCAATTGAAATAGCAATTAGGAAAGGTATGATATACTATTATTCACTTTTCAGATTGAATAATCAGAGGTCAATTTATATAAGACTGTCGATCCAAGCATCAGCACTGTCTTGAATAAGACCTTCAGTACTCAATGGCTTTGGTGGAATCTCCAAGACATATCCATTACAGCTGGGCTACAAGTCTATGCTCAATTGTTTAATTTTGGATACTCATGGCGATTCGGATTCTTGGTTCTCCCATATTGTGCTAGAGTAAGTGATCGCTTAACACCTAGGTCTTCTATGACTATGCAACATCATACTAAAATAAATCAAGGGCAGTCGAATTTCTCAACTGGGCAATCCAATACAGAAAGGCAAAGAGCCAGATCGAAAGAGGCACCTTGGACCCACTAGCAGTCGAGAAATATCAAGCCCTCTATGGAACTGTGAAGAAGGGACCACTACAAGTTTATGCAGATGTTATCTAATTGGCTTCATAATAAAATCCCAATTTGTGATGGATAAAATAAATGATATAATGAATATCGATCATTGGAATAATATTTACTTCACAATCTCAGATAGTAAGGCTCCTGCCATTCCCACTGAGAATTTCTAAGCCTCCTTAATTTGCTTCTATTCTTCAAGTAGGCTTGAATTTATAACCTATTTATCTTTCAAATAGAGCAAAAACTATACAAAATATTACTAAATATTTCAATTTTCAAAGAATAATATTTATCATGATATGTTCTTAAAATATTTGACCTTTCTCCATTTTATTAACCTAATTCTCTTTTATGAATAATTGGTTAAATTTAGATGGTCTATCTCCATCAGAGTGCAGGTTATAGAGAGATTATCGGATTATTGGATTTTTCACATTTCAAAAAATTTAAACTCATGATTCGTAAATCAAATATACACAATTATACACCCTATAGTAGAATGTTCTCTTACTAAACTTTCTTAAACACAGTTACCAACTACTTTAGAAACAAATAATTTATTCCTGGATGTACTTCCGCATGTAATAAAATACTCTAAATTATAAATGAACCCTTATAGCATTCAAAAATCACATGTTACTAATAGAAGCAATTGATTTCATAAAATCATTTCGCTAAATATCATACCAAATTCCCAAGGTTTCCAACCTATGTAAACATAATCCTCAATTGATAGCTTAATTTCATCCTATAAAATATGATTTTCTGAACAATTGTATNAACAGTTTCAGAGAGAATTACGAGATGTATTAAACAGAGATTGACAAAAATACCTATGCATTGCAGAGAAGCATAAGGGGATTCTGGATATTTGGAAAGGCATTCTACCCTGCTTTAACTCAGCATTACAGTTAGAAATTAGAGCTATACCAATTGAAATAGCAATTAGGAAAGGTATGATATACTATTATTCACTTTTCAGATTGAATAATCAGAGGTCAATTTATATAAGACTGTCGATCCAAGCATCAGCACTGTCTTGAATAAGACCTTCAGTACTCAATGGCTTTGGTGGAATCTCCAAGACATATCCATTACAGCTGGGCTACAAGTCTATGCTCAATTGTTTAATTTTGGATACTCATGGCGATTCGGATTCTTGGTTCTCCCATATTGTGCTAGAGTAAGTGATCGCTTAACACCTAGGTCTTCTATGACTATGCAACATCATACTAAAATAAATCAAGGGCAGTCGAATTTCTCAACTGGGCAATCCAATACAGAAAGGCAAAGAGCCAGATCGAAAGAGGCACCTTGGACCCACTAGCAGTCGAGAAATATCAAGCCCTCTATGGAACTGTGAAGAAGGGACCACTACAAGTTTATGCAGATGTTATCTAATTGGCTTCATAATAAAATCCCAATTTGTGATGGATAAAATAAATGATATAATGAATATCGATCATTGGAATAATATTTACTTCACAATCTCAGATAGTAAGGCTCCTGCCATTCCCACTGAGAATTTCTAAGCCTCCTTAATTTGCTTCTATTCTTCAAGTAGGCTTGAATTTATAACCTATTTATCTTTCAAATAGAGCAAAAACTATACAAAATATTACTAAATATTTCAATTTTCAAAGAATAATATTTATCATGATATGTTCTTAAAATATTTGACCTTTCTCCATTTTATTAACCTAATTCTCTTTTATGAATAATTGGTTAAATTTAGATGGTCTATCTCCATCAGAGTGCAGGTTATAGAGAGATTATCGGATTATTGGATTTTTCACATTTCAAAAAATTTAAACTCATGATTCGTAAATCAAATATACACAATTATACACCCTATAGTAGAATGTTCTCTTACTAAACTTTCTTAAACACAGTTACCAACTACTTTAGAAACAAATAATTTATTCCTGGATGTACTTCCGCATGTAATAAAATACTCTAAATTATAAATGAACCCTTATAGCATTCAAAAATCACATGTTACTAATAGAAGCAATTGATTTCATAAAATCATTTCGCTAAATATCATACCAAATTCCCAAGGTTTCCAACCTATGTAAACATAATCCTCAATTGATAGCTTAATTTCATCCTATAAAATATGATTTTCTGAACAATTGTATAATATTTCCCTTGTTCTAATTGCAGAATTAAAATTAATAATACATAATTATTTATTTAGTCTATAAATCAATCTATTCTTTTAAGTAATGTACTGAGTGTCTAGTCCAATTCGTGTAAGGAATGCAAATAACTAAATGAATAACAAGATCCGTATACTTTGAACTCAAATCATGTATTTCCTTTTTAGACATTTAACTTAGACCATTACTGATTTTAATCAAGTCAGAAACACTCACATAGCCTTCATTTTTAATCTTCATTAAAGAGTTCTGATTTTCCTTCCAACAATTAGCATCAAATTGAACATATGGTTGAGATGTGGATCTTTAGATATAAGATTGATCAAAACTGGTTTTCATATTTTGATAAGTCTTAATAGGTTCTTAGACACTCTGTCTTAGTTGAGTGCTCTTCAAAATAAACGACAATTATTTTGTCGAATTCTTGCCACTTGGAGATTTTTCTTAAGTGTTATTAATTTTTGCCTAAGTCACTTATCTAACGTAATTCCTGAACTCAATCAGCTCTTGCCTTTGCGATTGATCGTACATTCAAGTAGCCGTTAATAAAAAATATTAATAATTCACAATTTGATCAGGACTACTCATAGACCATCTTCACAACCACTGTCGGAGGGATCTTGTCTTCAAAAATCAATTGCTACAACGTATCCTTAGATATCACTTGAGGTCTATGATAATTACTCTTTATCATTTTACCTATGAATCTGACTCACTATATCCATAAGTATTTAATCGCTTAATACATGATCCTTCCCATCTATTCTAGATGCCAACAATCTGAGCAACCCTTGAATCTCTGTAAACGGTATTTCACTGCGATCTTGAGCCAAAAAGAAGTCGTAAGTGAACTTGATGTAGTCCTCGAATGTCCCCTCTTGAAACACAATCAATTTATAGAAATGTTTGAATCCACTGAATGTAAAGAGGTCTCCCTTACAGAATGCCCAAACCACTCTCTCCACAATTTCATCCTCTTTGCGTATCAAATCCCAAAAGACTTAACAATAGGTCAAAAATGTATCCTTGTGAATAGACACGTCGTCTTGTCCTTTCTCAACCTCAGAAACATCCAATAACACTTGATTCGATTTTCCAAAATCTATTGGTTCCGATGAATTGCTTTGTCTTGAATTCTTGACCACAAATTGTGGAGATATTTGAGAATTGGGAGTCTATTGAGTCAAACTCTAGCCCATCTTCTTTTTGTGGAAATCCTGTATGCTGTAATAATGACTTATGGAGGAAATGGTTCCAAACTGTTACATCCGAATTTCTGGTTTCTGGAGTTAAACATGCGATACCAATTTGTCATAATTTATCAATATGTTCCATTCCTTAACCAAATCCAACTCTTTTGTGGAATTGTTCTTTATCATCCTTATCATGTTGTCTCGATACAAATACTTGGGATTCCCTTTCTGTCGCTCGAATACGGTGTTTTTGTCATAATCCAAGTATGATCTCAATCTAGAGCCAAATCCTCTTAAATTTTCATTTAATACCACCACATTTTACACATTGGGGTCGATCTCTTGAGACGCACTCAAGTCAACCTCTTCAGACGATTTATACAATCTGGGTTGTGAGAGGAATGGAGATTTCCATGATTCTTATAATGGGTTTCTTTCGTTTAATTGTTACACTTTCTTATCCAACTTTTTGAGTTCTTTATTTCTATACTCCTATTATTACAGAGGGTGCAATCCCTTCATTGCCTTTTCGAACAACAATGTCGGTTTGGATGGGAGTTGCTTGTAATGTTTGAGCAAATCATTTTTGGAGAACTCCGAATTTATGATACTGGACTGAGCATCATCATGTATTGGTATGACTAGATCGACCAATTGCTTTTAAAAGTTTCGCTTTTCAACTATTTGTTCTAATTTCTTTTCATCATTAAATTTAGTTTTCTGAGGAGAACTCAATATTTATCGTTGTTAATGAATGATTTTCAATCTTGGCAATGTTGGTTTAAATATTACATTCTTTTTGCTTGAACAATTATTCATTTATATATTATATAATAAATTATATAATTTACATTATATATTTAGTTATATTAAATAAATCAGTCGTTTCATTTTTCTCAATTATTTTCATATGATTTTACGTCCTCCTCTTCCCTTATAATTTGAGTCTACTTGAACTAACTTAAGGTGTGTTGATGTGAAAATGTATATTGTAATTAATTAAATCTAGTAAAATTTATTTTAATAATGAACAAGTTTAGTCTTACTTTCATTTAAAAAAGCCTGGAACAAAAGTATTAGGGCCATAGATATTTATCAACGATACCTGCTTGCAAAGTTATTAATTTGATGTGTTTCACAATTTGCATGATTAGATCAATATTTTGCGCTATTGTGTAAGATAATATAAACGTTTTCATTTTTGCTCCACTTGGGCTACTAGTTTTCATCCTTCACTTTGTAGTTATGTTTTATAAAAAATAATGGATCGACTTCTATCTAGTTGGAATAAACCATCTTTTAATGTGTTATCAAGTGTACACCGAGGCAGATTTCAAACCCCAAGAAGCTTTTGTCTTTGGATAAAACATGATGGTTATGCACACCATCATCATCCTAGTGTCAGACTTCAAATTCGCTGTAATCCAAGTGATTAACAATGCCATCATCAAATTAGCAATTGCCAAGTACTTTCAACCAGACATCTCTATCTAAGCCTTCATCTATTGTTTCATCCTCTCTCTTATGATCGTAATCCCTCTCCAAAGAACCAACAAACAGTACAGGGAATCATTTCTCTATACAACATAAAATAATTCTTTAGGTAATGACTATTAAAATTCAAATAGACTGGATTATCCCCAAAATTATTGAGAATCCTTTTGCCATATTTGTTTACGACAAGGAAAACGTTGGGTTTCAGGTCAAACTCTCCAATTTTAATTCCTTCAACTAATTCGAATCAACCAACTCCAATCTTCAGAACCTTAATTTGATTTTAAGGAACTATAAACTCAATGGAAATACACTTGAAACCTTCGTCCTCAATCGAAGAAAGTACTCTGACAACATCACCGTCAATCAAGAACACGAAATCGTTAACTCCAAGAACTCCTCTGACAAAATCTACATCAAATATTCAGAAGTCTAACTTACAGAATAAACCTTCATTATCATCCTGGATCAGAAGCAATAGAACTACATAAAAATGGAAGACAAAATACAAAGATTAGAAACCGGAATCAATCTATTTTTGTACTAATTGAAAGCATTTCTAATTAAATAATTACTGATGCTAAATAAATCTTCCACATAAGATTTATCCTACATGTATTAGAACAAAGTCAATTTAATGTACATTCTCACCAAATTCTCCGTTAAACCAAACATATTTGTGCATTAATGTAAAATTGTACCAAAAATATAACATTTTATTAAATTATTCAATAAGGCTTACAATAAGAGAGTTCAATTTTAATTTGACAAACAACACCTTTAAATTTTGACCTTCAAGAATGTATTTGAGGAACTCCTAACCATTCTAATGACATTCATATTTCGAACTTAAACAAGCTCCCAAACCAAATTCATACTACGAGGATGCTACTATCGGAATGAACAATTTTTGGATCTCCTCATCAAATAGGATCAATCATATTAATTATTTTAACAACTCCAATAAAATATTCACTTTCGAAGCAATCTAAAATAGATAGGACCATGTGATAGGTTGCTTATGGAAAATAGTGGTATATATTGAATTAATTGTAGTTATCATTATTAGATTATATAAAGATTTGAGTTAGATCAATCAGTTCTCAACTTTTGTAAATTAGCCCTAAACATGATCCTAATTAAGTCCAATTGATTTTATTAATTTGTTAATATTTTTGCTTAAACAGATTGCTCAATTTGGGGAATTAAACTCTGGATGTCTTAGGAATTGTCTTTGTTGCACTTGTCAGAATTGAATATTAAAAATGATATCACTATTGTTTTTATTTTCATTACTTAATAGATGATAAATAGTGGTAACATTATCATTATATTGTAGTGTTTATTATAACAACTCTTACAACTTGCTCATTTTTAGAGTCAATTATAATGGGTTCAAGTAAATTGTATGACTAACAATTTAAGAAATCCTTAGTGAATATTTGCCTTTGCCATGGTAGAGTACGTTTATTTTAAATACAATAAAAATAATAGTTAATATTAGTGATATCAAATCCATTATATTCCTTTAAACAATTCTTATTATTTTTGGTAATGATTAATGATTTATATGAATGCTCATATAGTACGTTCTTTATCAGCATAAATACGCTTAAGATTTATTACAGACAAATAATTAATAATCTGAATAATATTTTTATTGTTACACTTTTAATATTATTACTGGGTCTATCTTCTCATATCTAGTTATACATATATATCTTAAAATCAAGCTGTGTCTTGGTTTGAGAACAATTTATTGGTTTAGTTAAATAATAATATGAATTTTTGCAATAACAGAATAATCCAACCTAATTTCAATTAAGCAACCAGGATTAATGAAGAAATGCTAAACAGTACTGAAAAAACAACAATAGTGTTAATATGGTGAACAATAAACAGTATTAATTCATAATAAAAATAGAGTGAATTATTGTTAAAAAGTTCAGATTTTATAATAAATTAATCTATTAATGTCCGATATTAAAGTTACTCCAAGATAGCATGGGAGATCCAAAACAAAAACAAGTACATCTTTTGAATTCGAACCTTAGTTGATAACATTTAGGTTTAACAAAAAAAACCAGGAATAACAAATGATCGATTAGTCGTTAATAAATTGGGACTGAAATTCGATCCGGTTTGTTGGAAAAAGACACATGAGAAAGGAAGAATTCAATATGTTTGCATCGTAAAATCTTAGACATAATTTATGAAAGGAAAAAGATTGTAAAGCTGACAGAAGATTGGCATGTGCACATTGTATAATTGAAGAACACGATTAGCACGTTTCGAATAAGATAACAGTTGAATAATATTGTGAAGCTTTCGAGTACAATTATAAGTAATATATGTTATAAGTATTAAATTAATTTAATGTTGTAGGTAGCAAAAATGGAGGAAAACTATAAAAAATGCAAGATGATCGATGTTATAGAATAAATTGATAGAGACATGAATACCATTTTTGAAATAATAAAATACTAACTGAAAACAGTGAGAGACAGGTACGTCTAAGACATGCAAACTCATTCCGAAACAACTAATGCAACTTTGATATAAAGTTTTAATGATGAAAGACAGATCCTATCAAAGATGAAGGAGTATGCTAATAAAAATCTCTATGAGATGACTCCAGCTGAAATGGATCATAGCTTATTGTTAATCGGAAGCAGTCACATTGAAGAAATAGTAAATAAACTAACCACTTTTGAAGACTAGAGTGCAACTATCTCTAGTACATTGAAAGCCTAATGGAAATTGATATATGAAGAATTAGAGGAGAAATTAGGAGATGTGATATCTTAGGTTGGATAGTATAATTTGAATGTCTAAAAATCCAGTGGAAAAAGAACTCCAATTGATTAAGTTAATATGCTACTATAAGATCAAAAGTATCAAGATATGACAGCGTAGTATACAAGCACAACCAATAAGTCAGAATCCATACACATGTCAACTTTCTAAAGAACTAATTACTCCTAGTAGCCACTGCTTAAACTCTAACCAATACAACTATTTTAGCATCTCCAATCTGTAGATAAACAACTCAACAAGCCTAACACTTCTAAATTTGCAGACTCAGTTTCAGAAAGTGTAAAGTAGATTGATAGTCCGAAGGATCATACAAAAAGCATCAAGTAGGTAGCTGGGTCATCAGATGTAGTATCTCCTTTAAAAAGCGAATTGAATTCAAAATAAACAACGTCAAAATAGAATTCTTTGAGGAACCTAATGCTGAAGAATCAAAATTAACCTCAATAATTGAAGGAGGCCAGTATTTAAATAATCAACAATAATTGTAACTAAAAATAATAGACATAACTTCGATAAATCAGTCCAAATGGAATGCATTATTATTACCAAAGTGATGGTAAGAAGTTGGATGGAAAAAGAGGGAATCATCTGCAATCACAAAGTTCTTCCTCTCTAAACTAGTAATCCTTAGATAAAAGATTGTCTGCTTAGAAACTCTAAAGCTATCACATTCCTTGCAATTACAATAATATGAAGTGCATACATAACGATTTGGTGAAGGCGAGTCCCGTCTTTACATGTTGTAATTAAGTACTAATTTATATAGAATATGTAGGCTTACCCATGTTATGAATGTCACGATTAGGTTGCCAATCACAAGGCCCATATCACAATCCCATCTTAAAGATACTGTCCAATGTGCAAAGAAATATTCACAGTGAATCTATTGTCAACAGTTGATGTGAAATGCTACCATAAGGGACTAGTTGATTAAGAGTAATCTCAAAACAATCCTCATTCATGAACAAAACTTTATTATATTATAATTTATTATAAATACATCAGTTATTAATCTTGTGTGTTGGAGAGACAGTTCAATAAGTCTAATCGTCATTGAATTATTGATTTGATTGTATGAGTAATAATGACTATTTTTATAATAAATTATGCTATCCTACTTAAGATTTTTTAGATTCGCTTCTTTCAAAACTGACCCCTATGTAATCTTGGGAATTAGTAAAGAAGCTTCAATGGAATAGATTAAACAGGCGTACATTGCGATGTGCAAGAAATGTAATGAAATTGATTGAGTTGAAGATCACCCTGATTTGAATAGTGAGACTGATGCCAAGGAGAAATTTGCAGAAATACATTAGGCTTATAATCTATTGAAGCAACGCAAGTTTTATGAATAAGTGGAAGAAGAATTCAAACAAAACTATTAGTAATTTTGATTCCTATTATAGCCAAGCTCATACAGAGGAGGAATGTTTCAAATAAGTGTTTGGATTCTATTTCTATGAGAATCCATAAGAATATTATAAGCCTGAGAATGCACAGAAGAGGGCTGATTATCAGGAGATGCTGCGTAAATATCAATCTAAAAATGGGAAACAAGAGTCGTCTAATCAACAAGTAGTTAATGATGTAAAGATAAACAGAAACTTCAATTCCGAGAGTATTTACAGTAACTAATTTGTATGCAATCTAGGATATAGCGATCATAGTCTGCTTAAGGCATTGATGATGTTCACATTTGTTGTGTCAGTAACGAGTGCCTACATTTTCTTCTATAAGAGATCGACTACTTATGCTAAAAACACAATTACAGACTCTTAAATTATCAGGATGAGAACCTTATCTTTGATCAGACAGCAGAAAGGAGCTGAAGAAAAATAATTAAAACTTTGATGAAACCATAAATTGAATTTTATTAACAATTTTAATCAAAATAATAATTTTATTAGCAACTACAAAATAAAATTGTCATTCCAATTCAAATAATAAATAGTAAAGTGATGTCAATCTCTTCACTATTTATGATTTAATAGTTATTAGAAATTAATTTGATTTAGTGTACGGATGGTATTGTTTGGATAGGTTTAGTTTGGAACTAATAGAACTAATAGAACTAATGAAACTAATGGAACTAATGAAACTAATGAAACTAATAGAAGTGGCAATTTGTTCAGATGAATTACTCTTGAATGCAGATATAATAGTAAGATTTATTGTATATATATTTCTATTTCTAAAGTATTTAATTATAATAAGGAAATGACTCATGGTATCAATTATAAAATTATTGGTAGTACTCTACTTTGGAAAGATTTTCGCGAATTTGCAGACTGAAAACCTACGGAGCCAATAATAAATGTATGAATTGGTATAAGCAGAAAAGATTAACGAGAGTTTGTTTGCCAGAGAATGTGTTTTCGAATGACTAAACAAAATAGAACAAGGGAGGGGAACAATAAGTAGCATTCGTCAAGGTGATTTGCAAAGAGAACATGGTGTTTTTATTTGATAGTATGCTTTGTGCTTAGAATTAGATAAATCTGAAATGTGGGCATTTGGAGCATCTAATGAGGGATTATTGGGTTTACGAATAGCTGGTCTAGTGTATCCAGTGAACATATCTCAAGTGATGGATACGAAGATACAATAGGTGACAGCCGCCCAAAATTTTGTATCAGTGCACACGATGAAAAATAGACTGTACATTTGGGGGAAAACGGATGAGATGAATTTTGGGGATTGCTTGAAGCAGAAGAGAGTAGAGTTTAGCAAGACCATAGACCGAAGGTATGAATTCTAGTGTTATGAAATTTCAACGTTGATTTAAGGCAATGGAATGTAAGAGAGAAACAATGAGTTATAACAAATGCAATCAAGTTCAAATAAACTGTATGTATTGACAACTCAGAGTTTGTACTTGATATCTAATTAGCCAATTCAAGTCATGTAGAATTTCGTAGGTTTGGCTTGCAATTAGAATCATGTTTTAGCATGGGATACTGAAGGCAGAGTCTGGAGTTGGGGTTCGCATTCTGATGGCAAATTGGGATACATGAATTTTGAGTAGTAAGAATAGGTCTAGCCAAAGATGGTGGAGAATCTGACAAACAGGATTATTCAATGTGCCTGTGGATTGAATTATAGTATAGCATTGGACGTGAAGGGAGATATCTATGGATGGGGAAAAGGTCCATTCAAAATTGAATTACTGAAGGCAACTCAACCCACTAAACTCATTGAGAAGAATAAGTCATTCGTGAAGGTGATTGCTGGCGATGATCACTTTGGTGCTTTGGATATGATTGGTCAATTGTATGTCTGGGGTTTGAATAACAACAATTGTTTAGGCCAAATGGATGAGGAAGTCCAGAAACCAACACCTTTGGAATTGAGTGGACTCAAGGTCATTGATGCAAGTATGGGACCTACTTGCACAGTTCTGATTGTTCCTTCTGGCAAATTGCAGAAATTGCCAAATCTCAATTTGGATTCGTTCACCAGCCAACAAAAGAAGTGTTTCATTGAAGAGGCTAGTTTGATTCGAGATTTCACTGAAAGAAGGAATCGACAGACTCTGATGTCGATGCTCACTCCCAGTCAGAATAAGTTGTATAAACCAGACGATAAGGAATATGACAAAGCCAATGAACTGATACATAAGATGCAATTGAAATTGGATTCCCCCAGAATCAAGCCAACATTTAATTCTACCCATGTCTCCCACTCTCTCTTCAGCAATAATGAACTCTCTGCCAGAACAATGCGATCTCCCATTTCCTTTGATAACGTTTAGAGCAAATTGAACAAATTGGAGAATAATAATCCTTTGTACTTGCCCATTCTGCCAAGATTCCAAATGACATCAATCATGAAAGAAGACGAAATCAATCTGGACTTTCTTATTTAAACAGATGATGATGAACTTAAATATCGCTACATCCAATTAGTTAAGGACAACTCAGAGGATTAAGTGCTCATGCAATTACTGGATGAACAGACCACCAAAAAGGCTCACTCCACTTTAACTGCCAGGAATTAAGTCAAGACATTTAAGCAATAGAGTGAACCCAAAATCATCAAATTCAATGATAAGTACGATAAATTGGATCCCAATCTCCTAGAAAATGTTAAAAAGGAACTAGCTGAAATCAGTAAAGAAAGATGGAAACAATACTTGAAGAAAAGAAAAATTAGAGAAAACAAGATCAATATGTTGAAAACTAAATTTCAAATGACCAAATTAGAATAGATGTCAAAAGAGGAATAAATTGAATCAAATCGCTTGTAGGCTGTTGAAAAGAATGTCAAAATTTAATACACTATCTTGAGGAAGGAAGAGAGACTCAAAACTAAGTTAGAAGGACTCTAATAGCAATTGCAAGAAAACTCTACTGAATTTTAAATCAAAAAGAAAACTGAAATGAAAAAAGAAGTTGCCAAGTTCTTTGCTTTCATTCAATTACTACAGTATCTCAATTTCGAAGCAAGTTGTCAAATGTTTGAGGAAGCTGCCTTTCGAGGTTTACAGAAAAAACGACTGCTGTTCCAAGCCAATAATAAAGCGAAGATCATTCAAAAGGCGGTGAGAAGGAGAAACATCATCAAAATGATTAACAACAAATTGGGAGAAAAACCAAGAAAAATTCTACTCTCCTTCATCTTTCGTATTAGAATGTCCATCAGAATCAAAAAAAGAAGAGCTCTCTTTAGAAAACTAAATCTATTCTATCAAAAAAATTAACTATTTCTTAAAGTTCGCATCAACTTAAACGTTTTGATGAAATCCACCAAGAACATACAAGCATTTTGCAAATATTACAATCAAACTATCAAGATGCAATTGAGTTACCTTAATTACAAATGGGATGAGTACATGAAATAAGAATTCAAGGGACTAGTTATTGACAAAGATAAGGAAGAGTAGAAATTAAATCAATTGCAATTCTTCAGTGAAAAACAGATTCAAATTATGAAGCAATTATCTTACCCTTACAAATCCAATAAATAACTAATCAAGGACATCTTGTTGAATAAGAAACCAAAATTGAAAGTCGACGTTCTCAGAACCAATATCTTAAAGAGAATTCCATTGCTTCAATCTCAGGAAGAAGAAACTAAAGAAAAGGAAATCAGAACCAATTTCAATAGTATTTTATTACCATACACCAAATATGTTGAGAACATCATCATTCCTTAAAATTTCAGAATTAGGTTTGATTATTAGGAAATTTAATTGTTAAATGTGCTTGACAAAATCAATCTAGAAGAAGCTAGACTTAAAATGGAGTTGTTGCAAACATACCAGAGGATTTAGAGAAAAGACTACATTCAACAATGTCGAAATGTAAATGTCATACTTTTTCTTAGTATTTTCAAGCACTATGTGATTTCAAATAGAAGAATAAGATATAAATAGGGACTGAAAGAATTAAAATTATGTCGAAGTTGGGCTCAGATGAAGTTAAGTAGCTGAAATAAAAGGATGAACTTGAGTATCGTATCTTAGCATTGAAGCGAGAGATTAACACAAAGAGAAGTAACCAAAAATATTATTTCCCATTTTAGTTAGAATATTTGATAGTGCTCTTAAAGAAAATATTTTTGAGAAGATCAAAGCATTTCAGCAAGATAGCTATCCCTTTTAATTACTAACTTATAAATTGGTTGTGGCTTATAGTAAAATTGAGCCTCCTAAATTAACTATGGAACTAAGCTATAAAGAATGGGTTCGTTTATTCAAGAACTATCATACAGATTTTAAAATTAGATTGCAATCAATAATGAGTGAAGCCAGAAGAGCAGCTGCATACAAAGCAAAATAAATTAAACGATCCACGACCATTAAATCAAAGTCTATCCAATCTAAAAAGGTAATTGATATAGTTTGAATAAAATATATGTAAATATAAATGTAATTCAATTAATAACTAGAGTCCATCTTGATATATCCAAATCTCCTTTTTTAGCTTAAAGCACTTTAGCACACAAACTAGCATCATTCTATGAGAATTTTTAAATAGTATTTTGAAAACCGCGAAATTTAAGAATATTTGATCATTAAAAATTAAACTACTTTCTGATGAACTTAGCCTTCAATATTCTAGTTTTTAAAATCTTTCATTTATTAATTCTAGATCTATCTATAATTTTATTCTATGGAGTTGAATTCAATATTCGGCTGATATTTATTAATTCTGAAATACTGTAGAACGATTCAATATTAAGATAATCTTATAAAATCAAGATCATTTTATATTGATTGTTTGAATAAGTATTTGAATAATATAAGTATATTTGTATTTGATTATTAATAATATAATTAGCATACAATTTAAAGAGTGTAATTTATAATTAAAGTATTTAATTAAGTATTTTTATATTAGCATTGAAAATGAAAGGACCTAAATATGTGGAAACCAATTTCCAATTGTTATTGTAAAGAAGGTTGGAATACAACAAGCACATCAAACAAATAAAGAATGCAAAATGTAATCCAATGCTGGAGAAGAGAGTAACTTATTATATTATAATTTAGTCTTTATCACAGTAATAGTCCTTTGTTAAGCAACTTGAGTAAAATTGGAAGTAAGCTAATCTGAAAAGAGAGCAAATGAAATATGAAGAGATAGTTAAACTAAATACAAAAATGCTAATAAAAGTGGCGAATGCTAAGGAGGACCAATTATTTACATAGAGTAATTAGAAACCTTATTGAAGATTCGCAAAAGGGTCGAATTGACTCAGCAAGATCAAGCAAATCTTTACACAGTGTTATAAAGAAGACAAAGGAGAGGGAGTTATTTCAAGAAAACAAAAGGTTGAAAGACAAAATTGAGAATGTGTAATCTTCAATTGCATACAATAAAATAATAGAGAACTTCAATAAGTAAGTAGAAGAAAAATAGTTAGACATCAAGGTGAGCGAGATCGATTGACAAGAAACTCTTATCAGAAGTAGAAAAAGATTAAGGAGTTGTTGGATAACCTGACATCTTAATCTAAAACATCTCTTCACTCTAAAAATAACCAAATTAATTAGGTGCCAAAATTAAGGTTGCCAAAAATCAATTAACAGGGGTAGAGTGCGAAATCAATACAATAACTAAACAAATTGAGAGTGGATGGTTTCTACACAGCCAGATGAAAAAAATATGTTATTTTGATAAATTAACTTTTTTTTGTAATTATTGCAATATTAGTTGGCTCAATAGTTATTACCGTACAGATAAAAACTTATTATATTATGAATATGCATTTGATTATATGTAAATCATGCTAATGGAGCAGCATTGTTTTCTACCTTATATTACTCAACCTACTTAATATAATTAACATAATGTCTGACTTTATTCAAGACTGGCAATGTTTCAGCTGAAATTACATAGCCTAAATCTTCCTCAATCTATTATAAGTAAGCTAGATTACTTGCATAGATAATTCAATAGAATCCAAACTATCTAAACCATGTTATTCCAACTCAGAATCCAAAGTGAGAGCTGACTGTCAAGATATATAACAATTATTACTTTATTGGTTGTTCTATAATAGTTTTTGACCAAGGTAAGTACATATCCCTCAATATCCTATGACTTCTTCAATTGTAAATAATTCTTTGTGATCAATTGTCCATCCTTATAAACTTGGATTGGTTTGGCTTATTATTATTTGCCCTAGGTTGTAGCTGGAGTCTTATCGGCAGCAAATGTATAGAGAGGTCTCATAGTTAACATTCTTAATCCTCTGATCATATTCATTTATTTAAATATTATCTTTAAAATAAAAAATATTATTGATTTCTATTCTATCCATCTTTTTTGTTCATAATCTCTTGAAATTTGATCTTTTCATCAATCGCAACAGTGTCCTCATCTTAAGGACATATCAACATAGTTAATATATTAATTCTTATCCTTGTTCTGAGAGTGAGAGTGTCTTTTGAACAATTAATTTTTAAAAAAGGTCTTGATTTTAACTATAATACTCTCAATTATGCTTATCCAAACTCTTGAATAAATTTCAAATTCATAAAACTAATTGTAATACAGACATCAAAATTAATCTAATTACTAGATAGACAATCAAAATAATAGAGATAAAATTAACTACTTATATAAAAATAAAATTTATTATATATATATTTTTTACAATGAAAAGTGAATCCTAATCATATGCATCATATTCAAGGAATCTGAACTAGGATCCTTAATAATAGAGTTATCACTCAGCAACCTTCCAAACTCTGTAAACATCGCAAAGAAATTACATCATAGAACAGACACAGAATATCAATGATGAAGAAAAACGATTATTGCAAAAAAGAATTGAGGACCTAGAATTTTAATTGAAAAATCTCTCACAAAAACCAATCATTTACGAGTAGGAAATTGCCAGGTCGACGATCTAAAGGGAAGCATTGCAAACTGATTTTGGAAGTGCCAATCAAACTATTAGACAATTGCAATCCAAAATCTCAGATTTGGAAGTATCCAGTCAAATTCGATTATCTCAACAAAATGAGGCTAGTAAACGATAAATCCTTGATTTAGAGGACAGACTTCAAAAATTATAAATCCAATGTGATTCTTAGGTCATCCAAATAAATCAACTACAAAGAGACAAAGTGAGTTTGGCATCTCAATGTTAAGCATTATAGGATCAAATGGGCAGCTCTAAATTGAATTACAAGCAGGAAATATCCGAAGGGGAATTAAGATACAGCAAGGAAAGCCAACGATTATCACTAGTTGTGAATGAAAAATAAGTCAATATACAATAATGGGAGTTGAGATATCAATAATTGAGTGATCAATTTTAAATCTTGCAGAGGAAATATGATCAAGACACTTCATCTCTGAGAGTGTAATGCAATGATGCTGAAGACAGGTATCGAAGATTGCAACAATAATTTGACTAATAAACTATTTTAGTCAATACAATCAATATGGAGAAGCAGAACCTGGCAGTCTAATTGGATAAACTACAATCAGAATCCAACACACAAATTTATAACTATCAATCAACAATCAAAACTAGTGAATCGAAAATCATTAGGGATTAATAATAATACCAATCTTAATTAAGTGAAAAAATACAATAAATTAATGATTTGGAGAAAAAGAACAGACAACAATTAGATCAATACTTCGCATTGTAGTAATAATACGATAAGGACACTTAGGCTTTGAATTATAGGATTCAAGATCTGGAGGATAAATTAACCAAATTATCGAGATCATTCGATCAATAGACCAATGAACTTAATTAGATTTATTCCGATAAGGAAAGAGTAGAGAGATAATATTTGAAGTTGTAGGATGAAATTAATACTCAAAAACTTAGATACAATCAAGAAATTAGTAAGACTGATGAATTATCATCAAAGGAAAGATCATGGTTTTAAGTTTAGTTGAATGATAGACAACAAACTATTACTGAACTAGAATTGAAAGTAAAGCAACTCAGTGATCAATTATAAACAATCTAAAGGAGAACTGATAACGAGGTCTTGGTGTTTTAAAAATAAATTACAGAGTTGTCCGACAGACTAAGAAATCAACAAGAATAGTTGGATCTTAGAAATAATCAATTTAATTAATTAAATAAGGAAAAGTCTCTTCTTCTAAATTAGTTTGAATAATTACAATAGGAATTTAATGATTACAGAAGGATTTATGAAAATGATGTGTCTAAATTGAACAGAGACAATTAAAGAATAACAAGCAGTGTTAATGAAAAAACATAATCTTATATCTAATTGGAAGGAAAGTATTAGTTGTTGAATGAAGAATTCCAAGCGTTGCAAGTTAGATTCGAAAAGGAAACCAATAATTACACAATGAGGATGAAAGAATTAGAAGAAGATCTATCTATTATGATTGAAAATTATAGACGAGAATAGAATGTAAATTAATCACCTTTTATTATTATAGATCAATAGAGATTGGGAACAGTAAGTGATTCGATTGAAACAGCAAATTAAGTATTCAGTCGATGAGACTAGAATAACTACTGAAAAAACTTTGGTTGAGAAATATGAAAATTTGACGAGTGAATAAAAATAAGAATTTGATATCATATTTAGTAAATTGAATTAAGATAAAAATGAATTGAGAATTTAATTGAATTAGAAAGTAGATTAAATCAGAGCTTTGGAAAATCAAGTCACTTAATTAAGTTTATAGAGTACCAAAAATCAAACATTAATTGCTGAATTGGAATCAGCCAATCAATCATTGAAATATTAAATCAATGAATAGGAATAAAAAATTAAGACCCTAATCATGTAAGAGTTCGATTCCTTGGTAAATTGATATAGTTTATAATTTTAGAGAGATAAATCTGCCGATTAGACAATTAGGAATTTAATGGCGGAAATCAAGGCGCTACAAAATAAATTAAAGAAATATGAAGTTTATATGAAAAACATTGATGATTAAAAGCTCTAAGAGTAACTGTAGAATGAATCAAATCTTGGTAGAAGTAGCTATGTAATTGAATAAAGAGTCACTACTGGAAGTGTGATTAATTAAGGAAGCACTTCTTAACTCAATAATGGTAAGGTCTAATAATTAGAGAGTTCTCTAAAGATTTCCTAGTAGAAAGAGAGGGAATTATAGAATCAGATCAATCAATTGAGTTCATAATTAAATCAATAAGGAAGTAATTCTTAAAGAAACTCTTTTTTTAATAATTAGACTAATGATAGCGGATTGAATTAATTGAATGAAAAGATTAAAAATCAAGAAAGGGAAATCCTTGATTTAAGATCTAAAGTTCAGGCTACATCTTAAACTAGAGTAGACACTAGATAGCAGTAATCATAACAAGATGACAAGGATAGAAGAATCATAGAATTAGAGAATAAGTGTGCCCTTTTGGCTAATGAAAATTCAAGATTGAATCTGATGAGAGTAATTATATTATCTATTTTTTCAAGAGCAAAGTATTATCTGGCCAATAAAATCAACCTTATGAATCTTAAAGCAATAATGGATCATAAAGATATTATTGATAAACTGTATGATTGCTATAGGTTTATTAATATATTTATACATCAATTAAATGGCTCTATATATTTATTATAATAATCAATAATATACTATTATTTTAATTGATTTTCCATCAAGAATTGTATTTGGGGGTCTAAGAAAAATAAAATACAACATAAATTATGGCTTTAGTACTTTTATTCTTACTTTGTAAATGCAAAAAGTTCCTAGATTATTTCAAATCTGTTGAGGAAAATAAATTTAAAACAAACATTATAGGATGTTATTGAATAATGATTATAAATTCTAGAGAGATGCATAAAATATCTCAAGGATTCTACAGAGACGGTAGAACTAGTCAGTCAAAAATAATGGTTATGAGATTAGAATATTATTTTGATATTATTATAATTTATATCATATTTTATATATGAGACCATAAACTTCTGAAACCTTTGTTCGTGAATTTCTGGATGTCTAAATGAGACCGAAAACTGCGAAATTGATGACATCTACATAATTAAGGAATTTGAGTGCAAAAACATCAAAACCAAATTTTGAATTTACTACCAAGCCTTAAGTGGAAGTTCACTATTAAAAGTTTGTACCGAGGAATTTTGGAGTGCTTTGCGATCAGTATAATTTGCATTTTGACATTAGAGGTTACTATGAGAGCAACAAATAAATATAACTGTAGAAGTTTGGAAGATCACAAAATAATGGTACAACTTAAAAAACCAAGATTTCACAAAGCAATTAATAATAATAACAACAAACCAAGAAACCTCAAGTATACAAATTAATCGAAATTGACTCAAGATAAAGGTAAGATCCAGAAACTATAACTGAGAGGGAGAAGGAATTGAAATATAAGAGATAACTACTACAAATAATAAATGACGACGTGTAGCCTTTGGGGGAAATACATAAAACATTCAACAAAGGCAATCATGTCATCATAGCAAAATTAACGTAAGCCATTTAAATATATATATATAGACCGATGCAATTGAGAAAGAGGAAGGTGAAAAAAGAACACCATCCTTTGACCTTAAATTGGAATCAAACCAAAAAGCTATTATTAGTGAAGGACTTGACAAACTATCTAATTGAAAGTACCTATCTTTAACCTAGTTAGATATGACATATTAAAACAAAAAGATTTCATTGAATGTCTATGCCATAAGCGGATCCGAATTTATCGATGAAATCTAAAAACCAAAGGACATTGAATTCGTATTGGAATAGCGAAGATTTACTTGTGTAATGCCCAAATTGATCGTTTATTGCGATGACATTAACAAAAATGCAACTATTCCATTGACCAATTTAAAAATGTCATAGCTACTTCAATCCAATTTCCAAGAGATCGATAATTATGTATTCTATTTTCTAATGTAGATGTCTGAAATAGATGAATTGTCTAATTTTGTAATCCCACAAAAAAGGTTTCCAGTAACAATTCAACCAGGGAAATTGACCAAAAAAGAAAAAATCATAAAGAAAATCGTGTATCATGAGGAATCCTATTATCAAATCGCCTTCATCCCACCATCAATCGTTGTTTCTAACAATATTAGATAAATCGGTTAGTTTCACTTCTCCATAGCTGATTTGGAGTGTCTAGCTAGTTTTTGTTTCAAGAACCCAATCCAAAGCTTCATTAAAAGCTATGTTGAAATCATCACTCTGACTCCCACAAGAGCATCTGTGAAAGTGAACATCCCAGAACAGCATGATGTCGTAGCAGGACAACAAGGATTAGCCTGCTCTGAGAATGGCTTTCTGTTGAATTAAACCGTTGAGTCTGACTTCAAGATTGTTTATACCCCTGCCTCACTAGAGTTCTACAATCCGACAACCTTGGACAAGTAGGTGAGAATCATTGAAGAAAAGGAACTGCAGCAAATTATTGATTTAGACTTTAATTTTACATTATGAATTATATCAATTTTATTTGAGATTCTTTATGGTAAATGGTTTCGCCATTTCCACATTGGCTCCCTCTCTACTTACAGTACATAATGGCATGATGTCGCCTCCTTATTCAATGTAATTAGCCCATTATATTAATTCCATTCCTCTCCAACCTTCTTTGGTCTTTCCCAATTCGTGAAGCTTATCGTAATCAACCCAAACAGCCATCTCAGATTCTAGTGAAATCAATCGCAATCACTTAATACCTTTGTCTGCTACTTTCTTAGGCGCTTGATTTTAATCAGTCGGCTCTGCATAATACACTATCTTGAATCTCATGAAACATGTTTATTGATCAATATCCTATTCAACTCTCAAGACTCCTTTCAAAGTTACATTAATCCCTGCCTCTTCAAGAGTTTCTCTTAAAGCAGCTTTTTCAAACTGCTCTCCAGGTTCAACTCTGCCTCCAGGTAACCACCATCCTCTATTCTTTGTTTCTAAGACGGCTAGGTATTAGTTATTTTTATTTCTGACAACTATCAACACTATTCCTATTCTCTCAAAAAATTACTTTTACATTTAGATTACTAATATTATTTAAATGCTAATTCTTTTCTTGTAATATTTTATAATTTACTGTTTAACTCTGAGGTACTAATACGATATTGGCAAAACTCAGTTGATGATTTGCACTTATTGTTGGAGTTAAATTACTCGAACCTCAAACAGTTTCCTCTGTATCTGAATATTGGGGATTCAATTATAATCTAAATTTAGACTGGAGAATACGAGGCGTTGCTATGTGTTCTTTCGAGTATTAATTAATAATGCGTAATATAAAATTTATTATAATATTCCTCAAAATATCTTAATTACAGTATTTGAAATATATTGGCTGCAAAGTTTAAAGATTTTTTGTAATGTAAAAATACATCATTAATAAAACTATCCTAATTTCTTATATGTAATTGATCAATCGTGGCTTTTATCAATTTAGTTAAAAAGTTAATCTTCCAAAAACAATCGGTGTATTAGGATATGGGGCAATAGGAAAAGCCTTCACAGAACTATTATTAAAGTAACATCCAAGTAAAGGTCTCTATAATTTTTTTTAGAAGCCAATGTTGTTATTCTTGATAAGCATGATGCCTTTTTCCCCAATGAGAAGAGATTTAAGACTGTAATTTACAAACAAACCAGAGATAACCTAGCACAAACACTTGACATAATGGGGTAAATAGAAAATATCATATAAATCAGCCTAAAGGAGGGAGATACACTAGTAGATTTGTCAACTAATATTGGGTTCGCAGAAATTTGGGCGCTTTGTGCTTAGAAGGGAGTTAGATATCTAAATACAGCCTTGGAAGTTTGGGATGACAGTGAAGATGCTAACTCGTGTCCCTAGAATGAAGAGGAAGCTTATAAATTGACATTAGGCTATATTAAGGACAATGCTAAAAAGTCACCATTCTGGTAGAAAGTATAATCTTAATATCTAATTAAGGGTCCTACTTCATTGTTAGAAACTGGATTCAACCCAGGTGTAATATCTCATTGTGTAAAAAGAGGATTGGAAGATTGTGCTAAACACTATCTCAAGAATCCTCAAAGAGAATTTAATTTAAGGGATTTGAGAAAATATTGGGAGTAGAAGAACCATTCGAAATTAGCTTAAGTGCTTGGAGTACATACAATTCATTGTTCTGAAACTGACAATTAGTTAATGGCTGAAATTCCAAAAGATGTCAAGACTAAGTTCTATAATACTTGGTCATGCAGAGGATTCCTCACTGAAGGACTAGTCCCTATTTAAGTAGCCAGAGGTTCACACGAAGATACTCATATTCCGAATTGTTATACAATAAGAGATGGAAAAACGATAGTCTCAAAAATACCTTCGGTGAACATATTGGCCAAGAGTTGGGTGCCTAATGAAGATATTACAGGTATATTGAGAATTAGCTGAGTTTAGGGGTTCTGATTCCTCATGGGGAAGCTTATTCTATTTAAGATTATTTAAGCGATCCAGAGACAGGATACTCGCCCTCACAATATTATGTTTATGATTATAATCCATTGGCGAAGGAGTTCATAAGAAACCTACCATCAAGTGCCACCATAGACAATACTCATCCAGAAATGGAAGTGATTCATCCTATGAATTTCCCTTCATTGAAAGGATGGGATAAAGTTGGTGCTCTCTTGATTATGAAAAATAATAGAGCCTGGTGGACTGGCAGTGTTATGGATGAAATCGATAGTTCTAAAATATTCAATGGAATGTTTGGTCCAACTGTGTTACAAGTCGTAGCAGGAGTATATGGGGGATTTTTGTGGACTTGCAAGCACCCAAATATTGGAGCCCACTTTTCTGAAGATGTTGAAACTGATGATCTTATTAGAATTGTAAGTATCTCTTCAATTAACCATTTCTAGAGTGAACATCTAATGGGGAGATTTATATCGATCCCAGTTGATCTTAACAAAACGAAGATTAAGGATTGTTACAAATTCCAAAGTTTTCTATGCCAATAAATTTGATATTACAACTATATATAAATAATTAATTAAATATCCAAAAATGAGTTTGAGCTGGCTTGTATCACCATAACTTCATAAATCTACAAATGGCTATTATATCAATCATGATAACATCATGCTTGGTACTTTTATCCTATTAATTTTAGCTGGACCACAAGACAGAAGAAGATTAATATTTTATTTTATTGCTAGTCAAACACCTGAAAAAATCACATAGGAGGATCACAAGAAATTCGTCAAAGAATAAACAATCGATGTTGATATGAGATCAGGCATATTTTCTTTTGGTGGTATTTTCTTGGCGTTAGCAACATTAAGAGAACAATAATTGATCACTTCCAAAATTACCACCAGACCCATCTTAAATGGAATGTTCATCTTAGGAGTTGGTAATACTGTCTTGTATACTCTTAGGTTTGGTCTCAGCCGCATTTTCTTATAACTTGTCCAAAGTGTTGTTCGAACCACTTTTTGTACAAAGAAATCAAGTGTTGTCAGAATTAGCTGAAAAGTATAATTTTTCAGTCTTTGATTTTGCCCTCGCCAAGAAGGAAGCAAGATTAAAATAATTAAGAGCAGAACTTACAAGCGATAGTAGCAATGCTGCTCATTTCTGAAAAATAATATTGCAATATCAATAAAAATATAATTATTATAATGATTAGAAAATTATTATCAAGGTCCCTATTTATTAGACCACAATTCTGCATCAATCACATGTATTCATATCCCATCCATAGACAAGCTTTGACACTCAAGATCACTTTAAAAAGTTTAACAGGGCAAGTATCGAGAGCATTAAGTCATCTGTCAATCCATTACCATCTCCAAGCGAAGAGGCAGGACTCTACATGGAAGAAAATGAAGTAACACATCCTATTCCTACATTCCATAGGTCGATGTCAGATTCTTGAAAGTCTTGAAATCCTTCGAGAAAATAGATGTCAAATCCGTCAATTGGGAAGGAGATTTAATTAAGGATCTAGGTTTGGACAGTCTTGAAAGAATAGCTTTGATCACCTCAATAGAGCATGAATTCACAGCAATCTTTGAGGATCGAGTATTTGATAATTTAAAATCATTGCAAGACATTAAAAAGCAGATCTTAAAAGATGATTCAGCATTTTGAAATAATATATATTATTAAAAAAAATAAATATAAAATTATGCAATAGCAATTTGAAGGTTATCTACTTCTCCACAATATAGCTAAACCTAAAAATATAGGCACCATCATAAGGTACTACTCCACTTTTCTATTTTGTTAGAAATGCTGCAGCTTTCAATTTAACTAAAGTCTTTATGATTGGAAAACAAGGCCAAACGAAAAAGAAATTTTAAATTGCTGAAGGATTTTCTTTTTTTGGTAATCATGGGACTTATGACTAAATGAATTTTCACCTTTTTAATAATTTAAAAGAAGCGAAGGAGTATTTTGTGCAAAACAATATTTTTGTTTGTGGTGTTGAAATTGGTGAAGGTTCTTAAAGTATTATCACAAATCCTTTTAAGGGTAATACAGTGTTTTTTCTCGGAAATGAAGTTTATATTTTAAAAAGCTTAATTATAGGGTACGGGATTGATTCCAGAACATAAAGCCTTATGCGACCATTTTGTTTATATTCCTTAATACACTCAAAAAACTGCAAGTTTAAATGTTGGTGTAGCATCAGGAATAATATTTCATCATTTTGCATGTAATGTTTCATTAAATTAAATTTAGAATGGGCAGGATTCAAAGAATAACAAGTAGAAGGAGAGAAATTCTTGGATCCAGAAAAATAAAAAGAGGAAAAAGAAAGAAAGAAATAAGAAATGATTGAATTGGGTAGAGAAAGAAAGAAATAAAAAATAGAATAATAATAATAATAACAATAAGTTGAATAATAGAATAATATTCCATAAGATAAGATTGAGAATGAGAATAAAAATATTGAATGATTTTTAATGCATTAAATTCAATTTAATAATTCAGAAAAAGCTTTATCGAAAAATAAATAAGTTTTTTACTCCTAATACCAAATCAATTTCAAAAACATGGTATGCAGTATCAGCTCTTAACCTACTCATATAATCTTTCATTCCTATTTCTGCTGATAAGCTTGATAATAAATATTACATTAAAATTCAAACTTACCTGAAAATATTTAACCCCCTAAATTTGATTTCTTCTTGCAATCACTTAATTAGAATGGGTTAACGCTATCAAATTAGAAAATTGTTAAACAAAATTTTGGTTTGAATCATTAAAAGTCTTCGAAAGATTTGCTGATATTTAGCTATAATACCATCTAATTTCTATTAAAACTGGATGAATATTATGTAATGACATTATGTCACAAAGATAGTTCAGTTTACAATTAGATTTGAGCTTCGTTAATTTGATATCTTAAATTAAGTTTTAAGAAGCACTCATATTCTCTTCATATTGAATTGTTATTGCATTATAAGCAAGAATTATGTCGATAGATTATGATAGGGCACCTGCAACATCCTTATATTGACATCATCTGCTTTGAGTGTCGTAAATATCTATTTCACATTAAATAAATAGAAGCAGATTATAAATATTTCGTTCTAAAAGTATCTTTGTCTCTGATTCTTTGCATAAAGACATTAGTTCATATGCAATCTATAATCCTTTCAGGAAAGTCAAAAAATATCTATTGAAATTGTTAAAATTGATTGTTAGACTTAGGACTAACACATTAAAATCTTGAATATCTTGATGATATACTAAAAGTAATCTGATTACTATATGAATAATAGTTCAAATTGAATACTATCAATAGTAGTTTGCAATCATTAATCTTAGGATTAGCATAAATTTAGATCTAAGATTTGAAATTTAAATTTCAGTTGGTATTTATGTGGGGAAGAGTTGTAACAGAAGTTGCTAAAGAGTCTGAAGTCGTCAATTTGATTAGTTCCATCATTATTTGATATGATAAATAGATTAGAATTCTGCTTATGAAATTACATAATAAATATTTAAATTTTTGGATCTGTATTTTAGTGAGGCAAATAAAATATTTAAATTAAATTATTAATATTAATATTATAATTAAATGTTAGTTGGTAAAAGAAAATATTTCGAAGATGAGCCAAATGAAGTAATATGTTTAAAATTAAAATTAGTCATTGAATCCGACTTTCGCTTTAAGGAGACGAATAAATCAAGATCGAAATATAGAGACTTTGAGTTAAGCGCGAAGAAGATTAACATAGTATATAATTTTTATTAAAATTGTAGATAAAATTTGGCAATAATTTAGGAGAAATACCCTTAAATACAATAGTCTGAGATTACTAGGTTGTTGGAAGACTTCGACAATAACATTGAGATGGTATTTGAGATTCTAGGATAAAAAATGGCTACCCCTCAAAAAATTGACATAGATAATGCAGATGTATAATTTAAATTATTAAATGTAGTTTGACAACTTTAAAATTTGTTTAAAAGAAGAATTATTGAAGAGACTTCAACAGTCTTAAAACATCTAGACTGCTTAATAAAATATTCAACTCTGCTTTGAAGCTTTTGAATAGAAATTAGGAGAAAAGTTTTAATAAAATGTATTCACGAATTAGTATTTTTAGACTTAAAAGTTACTTGATGAAAATAAATTGCTAAAGCAAGCCTTCCTTAAGCAAAACAAGCGGTTAGAGAAAGTGAGAGTGGATGCAGAAAACAAAGAAAAACAACATTCAAATTATATTAAAGATCTTACAGAGGAATGCAAACAATAAAAATTAATTAACAATAATCTCACAATATTATTAATTCAAGCTTAACAAAATGTTTCAATTAATAATAATAATATGGATCATGATATATATTGAGCAATCATCTGCACATTTCGGATTTTTATTTCCTTCTTAGTTCTTAGTTGTTCCCAATATTTATAATGAAACCGAAATGCAATTATTCAAAAGCTATATATTATTATTATTATGATTAATTTCCCAAAGGGAGTTTAGGAATCTCAATTGAAATCCACCATTGACTATCGCATCTACAGACAATTTCAAGCGGTCTCAAAATCTCGAGGAATTAGACAGACTCAATCCTAATGTCAGAATAAAGTTGCAATCAATGACAATAATTATATCAAACCAAAACGATCAATATAATATAATTCAATACAAACAGATTCAACAGCCTTTGAAAGTTTGGAAGCGGATTATAGAAGATAAAGTACGGAACCAAGAAACTATTAAAAAAGGAGAAGTCGTATTATATCAACTGTATATAAAATTTAATTAATTAGTTTTCAAGAAAATATAAAGCTAAATGGACTTATATTAGTCATGCCAAATGGATCCTCTGGAATCAGAATAAATTCCTATTGGAAATTTTCAAATTTAACAGTAATAATATTCTGAACCACCAAAAAATTGCTTTATTAATAAAGAAAATTATTAAGGACGCCGAACCAAATTGCCTACTTTGAAAAAGCATCAACTATGTAACTTATAATGATTATCATTAGAATTTGAAAAAAATGAAGGAAAGATCAGTGGATCCCATGTAGTTAAATTTGGAGACTCTTTTGTGACACCTTTTTTTGGGACCAAAAAACCTATTTCCTTAGAAAAGAGACCATACGAGTTTCAAGGGGTGGTATACAAAAGGAAGAAATGATTATTTAATTTTACTTTATATTCTCTATTGAAAAAGGAAACTTATAATTTTAATTAGATTCATTTTAAAATATAAATTATTTAATGAATAGTATTTTAATAGGAAATGATGGTACCCAATACTTAATTAAAAATCAACTTGGTAGTGGTTCATTTGGTACTGTTTATTAAGTGACAGATCTAGCAATGAATAAAGATTTTGCTTGCAAAATAGTGAGCTATAAATAATATTTCTAGATTTCAAAGGCCCTGCTCTAAAAATATAATGCTGAAAAGATGGTTCGACAAGAAATTTATATTCAGTCAACCATTGCCCATAGAAATATTGTCAAGGTAATTGACTCCTTCGAAGATAATCATTACATTTATATCATTTCTGAATTATGTTCTAGAGGAACCTTGAAACAACCACAAATTCCTTATTAAGAGAAAGAAATTTTCAACATTACACATTCAATACTATGTGCTCTTGATTGTTTACACTCCAATAATATAGTACATAGAGATTTGAAGGTATTATTATGTTAAGTTATCCCTCTATTATAGCTGGAAAATATCTTCATTAATGAGGAAGGAACTTACAAGTTGGGAGACTTTGGTTGGGCCACTTACATAGACAAAATCTAGCCAGTGATATGCGGCACAACTGAATATATGCCTCCTGAAGTGGTACTCAAACAAAATCATGATTTTAAAGTGGATTCTTGGTCTCTAGGCGTTTTGATATATGTAATTTCTCCAAATCATAATTGAAAGATTTTAGTTCATACCCACTACCCATTTAGAGCATAATCACAAACAGAATTGATATCATAGATTACAAAAAATGAAGTTGTTGTATAGAAAGGAATCGATGAAGACTTGTAAATTTTAATTTTAGCCTTATTAACAAAAGATCCCCAATAAAGACCAACTATATAATAACTCTTCATGAGTAAATGGGTTAAAAAGCAAATGAAACTTTACAACATTTTCAATAAATACGAGAATCAGCAGTTGAAAAATAAGACATTATCCAAAAACCTTGCAATTAAAATTATTGATGTTAAGTAATATTTCTTAAGTTATTGAAGTGGATCAGTGAAGAAGTGTATGGCTGATAGTTAGAAGAGTTCACTAACATAGAGTACGAACACTCAAATAAGCTCATCCAACAATTGTTCCCCCTTCCAAAGTAAGGTCAATATTGAGCATATTTTTACATTTAAGGACGACGACAACATCATATCTGTTCCATAACCTAAATTTGGTTGATGTTTAAATAGAATTATATGAATAATTTTGTAAATATCATTTGTATGATTTTAAATATCCAGAATTATAATAATAAATACTTCAAAATATTATTTATACATAAATGAATGATTGTTATTTTAAATTGGTTCATCTTTAATAATATATTATTATCAATTTTTTTAGAAGGATTGGGTAATAACGCATTTCTCAAAATAAAATGATACATAATAAACCTTTCTTCAATATCAATTGGCTACTATAATAGTAATTAAATGATATTAATAATTATAATAATGATAGAGCCATATAATCATGAATCTGATATCTTTGATGACGAGGTTGAGCATCCAGTTTCGTTCTGTAGCCTAAAAGCACATTTTAAAGACGATATCAAAATGAGAATGTAAGACCACTAATTAAATGAGTGTGATGTGCAAGACTTGAACTAGAAGATGAACCAATTAACACTCAATAAATGCAATTTCAAAACAGATATTAGAAGACATCAGAAGTTAGCTAAAAAAGGATAGTAATGTCTCAATACTGAGAAATAAACATAAAACGATTCAAATTAGTTATAAGCAACTCTTAAACAAAGATAGTAGGCTATATAATTATCATGTGCTGATCAAATGACTTTAATGGATACAGTTCCAAAAATCAATTTTATAAGGGAAATGAAAGATAGCACTAAATAGGATGCAACTTTAGATCTAAGAATAGATTTGAAAACTCAGAGTCACAATGCTTTCGATATAAGAAAGCTAAGAAATGGGCTTTCTCCTTCTCCAATCAATAGGCTATCAGCAAAAAATCATTCCAAGCCTTCATAGAGATCTCAAGATCATGACTCCAATTTAGATTTGTCTTTCAATTATACTGTTCAAATTGCATCTTCAGGTTCTATTAAATATTAGGATAATAAGCTTGAATAACAATAATGTTAAAAATCAACTATTAAATTAAAACATAATCATTAAAAAGTAAAAATAAAAACTCCGCAACAAGTTTATTCACAAAGATCCTCACAATTGTCTTTACTATAAATTGATAAAGAGGGTTTCAGAGGAAGATCTTTAAGTTCTGTTTCCACTCCCAAAAGCATATTAAAGAATCCCTTATATCAGAATTCAGTTTTAGATATTGTTAACTAAATTAAAATTTAAGGCAGACCATGCTTTTCTAGTTTAAATCTAATAGATTCAACTCCTAAAAAATTACAATAAAACTTATACTCCTCTGCTAAAAGAGTAAAATTTTGTTTGACTAAATAATAAGCAAGAAGGGAAAATATATATAATTGAATAACAAATGTTTATATTTTAGTATTCAAAGTAATATTATTATTTTTCATAACCTTTATATTCATGTATTCTCCTAAACATTTATTGAAACCTCAAGAATTAAATATTTGTTTGTTCGAATCTTAATTTGATGATCCAAACTTAACTTCATCTCTTCATCGTATATTATTAGTATTATAATATTTATAAACTTATCAAAGAGCTCAAATATTAAATAGCATAGATATCTAAAGTAGATAAGAATATTAAATGGAAAGGGAATCTTCCCCCATTTTAGAGTATATACCTATTTATTACTTTATAAAATACTTATGATTATTTTCTAATATTAATTTACTATTTCAAATTGTAATTCTTGATTTCTTATTTAAGCTCATGGTTCCTAAATTTATGCTGAATATCTAAATGATGACCCTTTATTACGAAACGCCAAAAAATATGAAAAGTATCAATTTATATGGTTAATTATATGTTTGTCCTTCAAAGAAAATTGTATTTTGTTCAAATTTTAAGGTTTTTAAGTTGAAATTCTTTGTAGTTCAAAATCAGTATTTGAAATGTGTAAATGATTGTGTCATGAAGGTAAAAATAGAAAAGCTAAATATTTTCTTACATGAAATTACCTAATATATTAATAGAAATTTTTCACTTTAATTTATAAACATAATTTTTTGTTTTATTAATACCCTTACTGATTAATTGGTAATATGAACAACTATAGAACTTTCTATAAAATGGTTGCTTATAAGAATGAAAAGATAGGTGAGAAACTACTATAAAGATTCATCTAAAATAATATAATGTCATATTTGTGGGTTAGTTTGGTATCATCAAGAATTCGGCAAAAAAAAAGAACAAGCAAAAACAAAAAACTAAAATGCACCTAATACACCATAATATTGACCCTATTAATACCATGCTATTCAGTTTAATTTTCACAAAATAAAATTTTGTATTTTCTCAAACTATAAAATTATTTAATAAGAAGCTTTCTAACAAACCAGAAAATGATTTTTTTCATTTAATTTATTGATTTCAAATGATTAATATTTTTGGAATTAAATTATGAATATCTCCAATATTAATAATCTCTCATAGCTTATATAGGAAAAGGAAGAGAAGCATTTTACATTTCGTAAGCTTGAACATTAAGACGTCCCATAAATTCAATCTTTAATGTCCAATCAGTTTCTTAACTATAACCCAGCATTTAAGATTGTATAACTAACTGAGCAAGACATACAAAGTTGTTTTACAAAAGAACTTTTGTAAGAATTTTAAATATTTTAAATAGTGATTCGATAATTCAAGAGAAGCTTTCCTTCGGAGCATTTAAATAAGATATGTTAGTGTCTGCATGCTTAACTTACGATTTAGGATTTAACGATAACTAATAAGACACGCTAACACTAAACCTAACCGAAAGAATGCAAGAAATTATCGATATGAATGACTTATTGTTGGGAAAGTATGCTAATAACAGAGAAATCAAGTTGAAATAAATTGCATATGTGAGCCATTTGGCTACAAAATCTGATTATTTTCATCAATAATTAGCATTATGCTGTTGCTTTTTGTCAGTTCAAGAATGTAGTAAGCTTGGCTTTCAATAAATGATCACTGTGGCAGAGCATGTAGCTACCTAAAAAACATTTGAGAAAATTTTCAAAACAATTGAAGTGATTAAAGAAATTTCAGATTTCAAAAATTAGCCAATCGTTATACGATCCTTTAATTGTTCGATAACATCTTAATGAAAGATAAATGTATAAATCAAACAAGCTTTATAAATTATTATTGTTATTTAAGAGGAAGAATAAATGCGAGCATAAAAATTGTTCTATATAGAAAATAATATTTCATTTTAGGAAATGTTCTTATAAATAATTTAAAAATTATTCCATTTTTTAATTTGAATTTAATCAATTCAAAGCTGTAAAGGTTTCTGCTAGAATGTTCTGATATTACAATAAGCAGAATTATTATTTAGGATTTTAATTTACCTTTTAGTTCATGCTACAGGTTTTTCTAATGAATAATAGTTATAATAATTATTTAAATCAAATAAGAAAACTAAGAATCATATTGGCATTCAAAACTTATTTGAATTTATTCTTCTAATATTTAAAAGAAAATTTTTAAGCCTTAAATTTTTCAGAAATTCCAGTTAATATCCAGTTTGTTTTATTAGAAATAGTATAGGATTTGAGAAAGGAACATTGATGACCTTGTAACTAGTAAAAAATGTAAAAAAAATGAGATAATGTTCCACTGAAAATATTTATCAGATATTATATACTAAAATTTGCTGAGGTAATTTAGGTGAAAGATGGTCTGTGCAAACACTCACACTGAATACACATAATGCCTCTTTCGGTGAAAAAGATGAACTACTAACCAGAAAGTGCAAAAATCGTACTCTCAAAAATCTTTTTGGATCAATGCTGCACAGACACCGATCCATCAAAACTATTGCATTAGAATTTCAGGATAGCTAAGCAAAAAGGGCTTTAAAACTGCTAAGTTTAAATTAGCATTATTTAGCCAATTTATCCAATCAACAACCTAATAATACCATACAGGTTTAAGGGGAATTACATAATAAAAGTTTGAATTTTGGGTATTTCTTGTTTTAGTTTGATTATAAGGATCGATTATTATGCAAAAAGAAATTTGAGGTCATATCCAACATTAGTCAATTTACATTGTTTTTAATGAAATTTATGTTGATTATTTGTTAATGATCAATAAGATTTGATCAAAAATTGAGAATGTTGAACATAATTAATTAAAATGAGATGATTTATGATTTAAAAATTTTTAATTAAATATTATAATAACTAAATTATAAAAATAAATATTCTGATTATTATCAAGTTTTGAAAATGTGTTGTATTAAGGGTCGAATGATATACTATCGAATTTTTCTTCTTTAATATTTTTCTTGAAAATTCATTCAAAATTCATCTGCTCTTCAATTTTAAATCCTTATTGTAATAATAAAAATAATGAAACACTCAATTTCATTTCTTAAAATATTATTTCTAAGATCAGTCCTATACCAAAATTGTATAACTGACAATGAGAATGATTGTATATATTCAGATTTTTAAATTGCTGGAACAATCGAATCAAATACTGGCACATGTGGCTCAAGTTATAATAATGTATTTATGGGGCCATTTGGTTTAAAAACTTTAGTTACTTATAATATTCCCTACCTTCTCCCAAACAAATAAGTGGATCTTTCATTTGGAATATGGAAGTTCGACTCTTGGGATGATGAAGTATTAGAGATTCGGATAAATAATGTCCTAATGGGTAAATTAGTAGCAGGAAATAATGATTATCCCGACGTATGCAGAATTGACAATTGGGGAGATCACCTTTACCCTTTTTCCTTTTAATTTTATCTAACAGATACTCAATTTACATTAACAATAAAAGACTTTTTAGATTAAAGCTTAGCTGATGGTATAAGTTGAATCATTTTTAGAATCTTGGGGACTTAGAGATTTTGTTCTGAAACTTTCATCTAGTTGCGTTAATTTTTATAGTGAATGTAATTACTCTGGAGAATTATTCCAAATATGCAAAGGTGATAAAACTACGAGATCTACAAGCTTACCCTATGAGATAAAATCGATTATGATGGATTACGGCATCATTGTGAAAATAAAAGATCCAAACTAGTTCGGAGGAGCTTTATAAGAGTATTCGTCCTCATAGCCCTGCATAAGTGGATATCAGGTATTCATATAAGAATCAACTTTAGTTCCCAAAATATATTCCATAATGATTAATATAGATATAATTACATATAACAAATTGATATCTAATTTCTTCATCTTTGGATGCGAATCCTAGTAGATTTCATTTAAAGATTAAATAAAAATTCGAAATTACTATTTCGAAAATACCTTATATTAACGAATGTGAGAAGGGCGTAATTGTTAGATATTAGAGTTATTTTTCATTTAATTTCTAAGATGAGTTAATCCACTTCATTTCTGATGCATCGTCAAGGATTAACGACTTTTTGGATTATCACCAAAAATTGTTTTGTAAAAAGACGTTTGTCAATAATGTTATTCTTCCACTCATTTTCTTTGAGTTTAAAGAATAGTTTAATGTAAGTTGAAATCTAGAGAAAGCATTTATTGATTTTTAAATCTAATAAAGAATTTCAGATAATTCAGAGGAAGATAGACGAATGAACGAAGTAGCCGAAACAGGAAATAAAAATAAAAATAGTTAAAATTGTAGAAAATTCTTTCAAGATAAATTTTAGAAACGGAATAACATAAATATCAACAAAAGATATATTAATATATTTGAACAATAACAAAAAATAAAGGAAAAATAAAAAATAACCCCACGATTTTCACTTTGATTAATTCTGAGATGTTTCCTGATATTAAATTACATAATCGAAATAAAGTTAGCAGAAGTTTTAGGAGATAATCCTATGTCCTAAATAAGGCAGTATGTTGTTTTTAATATAGTTTATATTTATGACATTTTAAAAGAGGTAAATTCGTTTCAATTTTAAGTTGCGATATGATGATAATAATAACTAGGTTTCCCCTGAGTTTGAACTTTAACAAATCTATTAATGAGGTTTGTGAGGTACAGGTTTTATAAGAACAAATTAATAAAGCAAGCACAAAATTAATTGTTTCTAATAAGAAATTCTAACACTCTCTGGTTTTTTTATAATTAAATTATAAATTTATTTTCTAATCTATCGAATAGTCTTTTTGAATGAGCCTATCTATAACAGTGATGTTAAATTTCATTGAGAGTTGTAGCAAAATATTTGGAAACATCAGCTTTGCTTTTTTTTGGAATAGGATATTTGGCTTTGTGATTACCAATTTGATTTGCAATTTTGAATTTATTTTTAACTAAACATTCTAAATCACTAGTGATCGAGTTTGCCCGTTTCAGTCTAGTAAATTGTTAATATTTTGGGGATCTTATTCAATTTAACTTCTTTGTTTTATTTATTCATATTTAATCTTCAGGATAAATTAATGTGAACATAAATGTATTTTTTATTTTATCTATAGGCTTTCATATTATCCAGTTCTACTTAGGTCATATTGAATGATATTTAATTGATTATATTGCATACCTTTGAGCATTCCTAAAAATAAATGGGAGTATATTAGAATATATTTGAATTAAGAATTGTTATCATATCCTTATTCTTTAATATAGTATCTTGCTAGAGATTCTCCATAATTTTTAAATGAATTTAACAGAAATAAAGTAGAAAGCTATAATTAATCAATAATATTTCCCAATTACCTTATTCATATCCTGCAAAATACCATCCGCAATCTTTATATATTTCGCATAATAAAACCTGTCAGCCATCTATGGAAATATTAGAAATTTTAGCAAATAATGAAAATAGAATTAAGATTATTCCAAAAGAATGTTAAGTGATCTAAAAAAATAATATATTTGCTATGCTTCTATGATATACAAAAGAGAAAAAAGGTCAAGTTTTAAATAAGTTTGATTGACTTAAATGAAATTTGCCAATAAAACAACAGACTTTAGAATGCCATATCAACTAAATTTTTTAGTTTATAGTTTATTCATGATCTCAGTTTAATTGATCAAATAAAATTGTGAGGTGTATTTGTTTTTAAATATATATCATATATAGTTAAAGTTTAGATTTCTATTAAAAATAAATATTATTAATTTTATTATGTCAGTCGTGGCAGTGAATCTCAAAATACTTCCACTAAATGAGAATTTGAATTTAGAATTGGACCAGGATACCTTAATCAGTGAATTATACGAATTCATTTAGTCTAAATATAAGTATTGTTTTATATTATTGTTAGTCTTAATTCAAATGTATCAAACTGGACATGCTATTCTGAGTATAAACGCACGAATTTACTTCCTTCCAGTAGTATTGGAAATATATAAAAGGAAACGCTAACCATCAATACTTAACCTACTTCAAGAACTCAAATGATTACTCCAGATAGCAATCTTGTAAACTAATCCTCTAACTTTTAATAAAATGTTAATAACTAATAATATCCAGCTCCCATCCAATAATAAAAGTAGACTTAACAATATCCAACCCAAAACTCTATTCCATAATAATAATAAAATCAATCCTAGCCTCAAATAAATAATTCTAATTAAGTATAAAATCAAAATTCTGGCTAATCTTTAAATCAATCAAATTTAGTTATTCTCCATTTAACAATAACTGATGGTTTTAAATAAAGAAAATTTTAAAGTACCTTTAAGTAGGATGATCTTCTTGAAGATGTAGGAGATGCTGTGCTATCCTATTTAGGAGTTCTAAAGTATTTTTTTTTCGTATAATAAGAGAGGCCGCCTCTTGTGATTTAGTTATTTATGGTCAAAATTACAATAGCCCTGAAAAACGCTTAAAATCACTTTTGTAATTATCCATCAAATCCAATACAACTATAGATGCCCGCTTGAGATGGATTGGCGGTAGCCAAAGATGATAAACATTTTATCATATTATATAATTATTTATTATTATGTACCATATCGTTTCTGCCAAAAGATTGATTTTGAAATGTGAAATAAATATAAAAGGAATATAAAAATGCCATACTTTAAAGAACAAATAAGTAATGAGAGAATATCTAACTTAGGAATAGTAATATCTCCAAGTAGTTTTTAATAAAAAATGAAAAGATAGGTTAAATGATGGTTTGTAATCATTTTTAATTTGAGAATTTTTCAAATAGATGATATCTTTTCAAAGTAATAGTTTGGATTCTAGTCTGATTGTGTGGTAAACCAAAGTAATGAGCTACTACAATTCAGAAGAGGATAATTTGTGCTTTCTAGAATTGCAATTTAAAGTTAATAGAAAGTACAACATTTAAGCAAAGAGTTGTGCTGATTAATAAAATGAATTAAGTGCTGCTAAAACTTTTTGTAAATAGAAGTCATTTATTTTACTCTTCAAGGAAACACTCTCCTTTCCATTTAATAGGGGACTCTTTTAAAAACTGCCTTTTCAACTTTAGCATTACCCTATTTTCTATCTGCCTGCTTACTTCAGGATTTGAGATCTATATATAAATCAAGAGAATTTTTGAATGTGCTCATTGAAAGCAATCAATCTTAGAAAAATAAACGCAGCAATGCACTTATAAAATTTACAAATATCAGAACATCGTTGCAAGTATCTATATATATGTCTTACATTTCGAAATAAGGATATATATATTATCTTCAAATGATTTTATTATTAAACTTAGAAATTAAAAATATTCTAAAAATATGTAATTTTAAATTAATTAATGATGAAAATTATAAAATGACAAATGACATCTTTCATTCCATAAATAATTATGTTGAACAAATATTTAATTAGAATCACAAATTACCAATTTCCGATTGTCCATCTCTCTTGCCCTGCCATGTAAATGCAATAATATAAATAATGCTTATTCAATAATATAGTGTTTATTAATTCTTCAATTACATTTCAATAAGAATCTACATGAGATCAATTCAATATTTCTATATATTTCATTGTAGAAGTATTGTTGAAATATCAAATAAAAATATCCATTTACTATTGGCTTATTGTTCTCATTAATTTTTATTGGGTTATTTTTAATTTGAACTAAAATGAGTTCTCTTCTAAGTCATCATATTTTTCATGCTAATTTAACATTGTTGATGATTTTATAGCTTAATATCATACTTAATTAATGTAAAAATTTCAAGGCAATACTTTAGAAAAAAAGAATTTGTACAATTTTTAAGCAAAATTTGCTATAAAAATTGAATGACAACATGTTTAATCTTTAATAATGATGTAACCTTTACAACTTGAAGATCCTTTTTCAGAGGAAATATAAGTAGATGATGAAGAAGTAATCTATTTATATATTCTTAGATAAGAAGGATTATAAATACCTTCAATATTGAAGAGCTAAGAAAGCACCTAAAACACAATAATTTTTAATTCTGGAACAATATAAAGCACGCTGACCACTTAATGGAGGTGATGGAATAACACCTAGCCCAGGTTGTAACAGAACTATAAACAAATCCTAAATATGATTGTTTTGAACTTTTAGAATTTCTTTTAGAATTTCTTTTAGAACTCACCAATATACCTAGATTATCGAAAAATAGACGTATTAGTATATTTTTTATTAAAGTAATTCCTGGTTCAGAGAATTTACTCAAGATAATCGAATATACAGAAGACTTACGCACTTATGATGTAATTTCTTAGATTCTCTTATTGTGTTTTACGGATATAATTAAACGAAATAATGAGATCCTTCCAAGAATATTGTATTTGTGGAAAATTTTCTATTATCATATTAATTTTCTTGGTTCTCAAAAAGTCAATTTAATTGACTATTATTATTAAGATCCTAAGTATCGAGAATTCTGCCAGGAACCAATTGAATCTCTGTAGTTTGATGTTGAATATTTTGAACCTACTAAATTAGATGAAAGTTATGAAGATTTGTAAAAAAATTTTATTCATTCGAAAAAGTTGGAAGGGTAATTATAAAAAAAAGTATAAACTATAAATTGATTTTTAGATAATATCAATAGTGGATGACAATTCAAGTTCAGCTCTTACCTTGTCTAGAAATCTATTAAATCTACAAAATTAACCCCTCTCCCCATTAATAGAAATAGTAAAATTTCGAATTCTAATTTAACGAGGTTTACAAACAGATCCAAAAAAAACTAAAAGTATTATAGTAGGACTACATTTAAAATCGTTAAAATTCTTGGAATAAAGACTTATTTTTTCAACTAGCATATTTAAAACGTGTTACCATCAAATAATCGGAAAGTTAGAATAAACAGATAATAAAAATTTATTCCGACTGGAAACCATAGAACCAAAGACATTAACGTAAGTAATTGTAATCCTATCAAACTATAATAATTTGGCAAGAAATGAAAAAAATTAAGAGTTCTTACTAAAATTGGTAACAGATGTATTATCTATGAGTCATATGGAAGAAAATGAATAAATTTAAGGTTTTCCCTTAAAGTACAATTCATAAATCTTGAGTTAATAATTAGCAATGGATGGTAAATTAACTTCCTGCATCCTATTAAATTTTCTTCGTCTTTCATTTAGAAATGAAGTTTTCTCTTAAGACGTAATCTAAATGCTATTAAGAGTTCTTAATATTTAAGATAACAAGTTAATGCTTCTTCCTGAATAATTTGGAGATGCATTATAGCTATTTAGTTGTTATTGCCTAAAAAATCCAGAAACCCTAAATCAGAATTTTGATGATCTTTTATCCATTATTGTACATTCCATAAAGTAAGGATAAAACTTGCAAAAGCCAAGCCAACAAGGTTATGTTTAAATTAGTGATACGGAGGCAGATTCTATAACGAAGAGGTGCCTTAAAATCTTATCTTCACATTTTGAATTTAATCAAATATAACAAACCAATGTTTTTAGAACTAATTAAGCAATAAATATTGACACAATGTTATCGAATAAGATTTTAAACTCAAATATTTTAGACTCCTTTGCTGAAAAATTCAGTTAAGAAGTATAATTTACGGATACAGCTTAATTAGTTTTATCGTTTATTTCTTGTTTAACTAGGGTAGCTCCTGATAAGACTGAAAGAATAATTGACTCCAAGACACCTGTAATGTTGAATGATATTATTCAAAGAATAAGGATAGAAGAATTAGACCTTAAAAAGACTATTTAAATATTAGATTTTTATTTAAATATTTGTTTATAAGAAAAGGGATTTCTTCTCTTTAGCAATTCAGCTGTCAAATTAATATCTGATCTATTACAATATCATTTAGTGGTTTAAGATAACTTATCAAAGTCATGGTTATAGAATTTAGGCTATCGTATAAGATAAATTATTAATTCAAATAATAGGATGAAAATATAATTAATTGAACCTATTCAATAAATCTATTAATAAGCATTAGAATAATTAAATAACAGAATCAAAAATTTGAAATTTGATTAAGAAGGTAAAACAGAATTTAAAAAGATTGTTTAGAAAAAAAATGCCATCATAAGTTTTAATAAAGACATTCGTTTGTAATCTAATGGAATTATAGATGTAATAAAAAATTTTTTTAAAATCCCTAGCTTCAACATTTTTTATTCTTCAATTGTAATTATGTTATTTATTTTAGGATACACCTACAAGAATAATAGAAACAGTCTTATAGATAATAGAATCATGGGAAGCGGATTTAGGATAAAAATTGGATAATGCCTAACTTCAATATTTAAATGAACAATAATTCTTTGATTAATTTTCACCTTAAAATTTAACAATAGTTGGTTGTTATTCAGAAATTTTTCACTGTTTATCTGCTATAACTTTTTAGGAAATCAGAACAACTGCTACAGAATTAAGATGCAAATTATTAGAAAAATTGTGTCCTCTATTCGGACTGGTGATAGTTACAAAAGATTCTGAATAATTGAAAAAAGCTTAAGGATAGTTTTCTGATATTGGAATATTAATTGGGTTATTTTAGGATCTAACAAGGATAGAAACAAATATATATTTAGAACCTATAGGCAAGTTTTTTGAAAAACTAAGTTAGTACCTGGTTTCTTATCCTAATGCTACTACATAGCAATTAATATTAATATCTACCTTATTACAAATAATTGGCCCACCTTTTAGAACAAAGCTTTAAATTCTTCTAATCGATTCTTCATTTAAGAATAACTTATTAAATACTCTAAAGAATTATAATGGAAATGATCAATAAAACTCAAAAATAACAAAAGAGTTAGATCTTTACTTTGAATAAGTGTTTCAATATTTATACAATCTTCCAAGAAGTAAATAGGATTTAGTATCCATACTTCCTAAGATAATTTAGGATATTTCATCTCTTTATTAAATTATCATTGATTCAGATCAAGAAAATCTAATAAAAATAATTGGATTTTTAACAACAAAGATAGGTTCAATCTTGAATCTTGAATCTAAAAAAAATTCTGAGTTAATAAAGTTGGTTGAAGAAATGGGCTATTCTAGACAACTTATTTTAGAAGCATTTAATATAAATTCTAACTTTACTAATCAGACGATTTTGGTTAATTTTTTAGAAGAGAATAGGAATTTACTTGAATAACGAATACAATAAGGCCAATAATAAGAAGATTTTAATTTAGAGATGATTGAAGCTTAAAAAGAATCGTTAAAAATCTACATAAAAACAAATATTTTAAGATTTTCAGCATCACAAGTAGGTTTCCTAGATTTCCCAGAATTAGAATTTGATCAAACGTTATTGTTCAAATATTTATAGTAAACAGCTTATCAATAGTTTAATTTAAAATTATACTTCTAAGGGGTTGAATTTGAGAATACAATCACCCCTCCACCTTGGAGCATAGTTGTAATTTTAAAATTGCTTAGTTAGTAAAAACACTTTACTGAATAATAAGACTTAATAGCAATTGAAATGATAAAAATACTTGACAAATTATTGCAATAACCAGAAATATGTAAGCACGGCATATAAGCAATAAATTTTACATTGTCTATTTTGACTAAATTAATCAATAACAATTAAGAAGTCATAAGCCTGCTACTAAATGGAATTAAAAAAATACTTGATTTACAAGTTTAGGTTGAGTTTACTGTAGTGTCATGCATTAATGCATTAATTAAAGTCTTTTCAAAGAATAGATAATCAATAAATCAGTTTATTTAGGAATTTGAAGGGTTAGAATTGCTTTACAAATTGAAAGGAAAATAATTAAATCATACAACTATTTTTGGTAGATTGGGAATAGGAATACTTTCTGATCAAATTACTTTGAGGGCATAAATTGAAGCAAAAATAAAAAAAATAATATTTGATTAAGAAAATAATTAAGAAATAAAAAAATCGTATCAAACTACAAATGGCCTGTACTTTTAGAATGAAAATGCCTATCCGATTTGCTTAAAACCAATATAACACAATATTTAGGCAAATAAACAATGGAAAATTAAAAAAAATAATCCTAAATTGCTGGAACTTCAAAATGATGTGTTATTTAAGGAGGAGGTAAAAGAAGTCATGAATTTATTATTTATAGAATCTGAAGAGGAATAATGTTACATATTAAAAAATGGTATTGAACTAGATACATTAAATAGCATCAATTAAAACGAGGATTCAATAACCTAATTTAATTTCAAACATACTAAAGAAACTTAAATTTTCTTTAAATTTTTAGTTTAAAAACTTATTTAATCATATTTTGATACTAATACACAACATTAATTTAATTGGAAAGCTATATTAGAGGTGTTATTGTTTCTTATTTAAAAATTTCCAATATTATTACCAGTGCTTTTACGAATTAATTGCAGTTAATACCTTCAATAATATAAACATAATATAGGATATGAATTATAAGAATTACCTACTTAAATATCATTTCTTTCAATGATAACAAGGTTTATCCAACCTTCCCATAATTTTTTATTTTATATATGTTTGGATAATTTAATATTATTCAGAAAGTCTAATAATATAATTGTTCCTTTTGCAAATGAAATAAGAAGACTAATTATAAAATAGCTGTTTAGTGAGATTAGCATAGCAATAAAAACATGTGACGAAAAATTAAAGAACTTAACTTTACTTTTAGGAATATTATTGTAAATAAAATCTGTAGCCAAAATTTGTATTAAAAACATCAATGAGCCCCAAGAATCTTTTAATTTTGTGAATTTGTACATTGAAGGAATCAAAAAGTACGATCTGTAATAATACTTTATCTACAAAGATTAAATTTACTTTATACTTACAATATTGAACTTATTATATAACGTGGCTACATACTTTCTTTTAGAGCAAAATGAGCCAAAACTAACTTATTAGCATTAATAAAATATGATGAATAATGATAATTAACAAGGAAGAAAAATTATTGGTGAAATGAGGTTAAAAGAAATTTAAAGTTAATTATTCTCGTTTAACCAAAAATATCTCTTTGACTAACGAAATCCTTATAAAATATCCAAATTATATCTTTAATAATGGCCATTATTTACAGAAGAAAATTTTTCACCATAGACTTAGACATTAAAAGAATTAACTCAAAATGAGTAATTAAACTTAATTTAAAATAACTTGGAGTCTCGTGAAATTACTGCAGTAGACTTGGAACACGAAGAAAATTAATTTATTAATTAGATTGGACAGGAAGCTAATTAAGAAACTTATAAAAGCTTAGAAAACAAACAAGTCTTGGACGATTTTGTGAATGCTTTCATCAATAACTAAATTTAGGTTAATATCTAATTCACTGTAATTTTCTAATAATTACGTTTACCAAGATAGTTTTAACATTATTTGTAAAGGCTTCGAGGGTTTCTTGTACAAGATTCCACTGAGGTTTCTTAAATTTAATAGAGAGTAGAATTAGTGGATGACATTATAAGGTTAAGATTTAACATGCGATAAGAAAATAATACAACTATCCAAGTTATAGGTAGACAGTCTTAAAATCATTTATTTTAGGAAAATATATTCAATCAATAAAACAACGATAATCTCGAGTTGATAAATGAAAATTTTGAAAGAAATGCCTATTATAATAATGCTGATATTGTTTTCAATGACGAAAACCTTGACGAAGATAACATAGGTGATTAATTTTAATAGCAAGAATAATAAAACGAAGTATAACAAACCAATCAGAATATGACACTTGAAAATGTAAATTGTATCTTGGATATAAGAAGATATACTCTAAAAAATTTAGGAAAACTAGATGATTAGTTAATTCAATTTTTGATGAAATTTCTATGTATAAAAGATGTTGAGGCTAATTTAAACGGTGTTCTTAATTTTTTGAAAACTCTAGTGCCTAAAATGAATATAACGAATTTAATAATTAATAATTTAATTCAGATATTAAAATAGTTGAACGAATCGGTGCAAGATTGTAAATAAGGTTTAGAATTAGTGAAAAAAAGAGTTTTAGAGGTGATGGTTGATTTATAAAATTTATAAAAATGCCAATTATCAACCAATACTTTTAAAGAATTGATAAGCTCAATTGAATTGTTTTAAGGTCAATAGTTGAATCTGCTTATTTAATTTATGGGGAATTAAGAATAAATATCGATTCCAGAATTAAGTGAATATTAAATTAACGCTCTTTTCAATAATATGCTTAAAGAGAAGGATTTAGAGTTCAGTAACAATTATGTATAATTGATATCAAAACTTTTGGGTGTTTCATAGAACAGAAAACATTTTTTTAAGCTGATGGAAGATGTAGTTGAAAACTCTACAGATTATTATTAGATTCAATTAGAAAATAGAAATACAAGTGATTCATGCTTTTACAAAATATATGAAGTTGAAAAAATATTTTAACTGCTTTAAATTGCTTATAAACAAGGTCCTGAGGAATAAAGTAGTTGCGAGAAGTTTTTGAACTCACTTAAACTTGAGAAATTAATGAAGCTCGCTGAACAAGTTATTTCCAGGATACCAAAGGAATAAGTCCAAAAATATTACCCAGCCATATCACCAATATTCAGTATCTTAGTAATATCCAATTAAATTCTCAATCCAAATAACCCTGAATAATTACTTTTTTTAACTAAATTAGCTTCTATGGAGATGTCCAATTCTCTTTCAGGTTCCCTAGAAATTGGAGTAGTTGACTTTGAAAGTTTTTCAAGAGAGATTTGTAGACAGGGCAAAACTTTTATCAATTATATAATAAAACAGAAACTTAGATAAATGAAAGGATAAATTTTGAGACGTTAATAGCCTTCTAGAAACACACATGATTTTGAATTTTAGAACATTTATGTGGATTATTTTTTTCTAAATCATTCCAAATGTATTGATTTTGAAAATAAGAAATTATACTTTCAATTCAAGCTGACAAGTAGATAACGAAAAAGATTATCAGTAAGAAGAAACCATATTTTCGAGGATTCTTATAATAAGATTAAAAGTTGTGATCCTCAATTATTAACAAATATAACTGTTATATTTGAAGGTGAACAAGGTATAGACGTGGGAGGTTTATCAAAGGAGTGGATGTAATTACTCATGAAAGAAATAGTAGATCCAAATAATAAACTATTTATTCCTACTTCAAATAATTTGTTTTGTTAAATTAATAGGGAATCCTATCAAGATCCTGATTATCTGAACAAATTTAAATTCATTGGTAGGATTTTTGCGATAGCCATCACCAATGGACTTAAAGTATTTGGAAGGTTTCCAATCTCCTTCTTTAAACACATTATAGGTTAAAAATTATCTATATTTGATATATCATATCATGATGAAGGGTTATATCAATAATTCTATTCTCTCTATTACAGTAAGAGTAACACTGGTTTTGAATAATATTTTTTATACACAATTGTTAATAATGGGAGACCTGAAGATCTAGAGCTTAAATAAGGTGGAGAAGAAATACTAGTTACTTAGGAAAACAAAAAAGAATTCATAAAACTGTATTGCGATTAAATCATGGCAAAAAACACTGAAAATTAAATGAAAGCCTTTTTAGAAGGGTTTTACTCCGTGATACCAAGATAATACATTAGTATTTTTGACTCAACTTAACTAGAATAATTGTTATGTGGCTAAAATTACATAGATGGTAATACTTATATATATATATTCTTAGTTGACGATCTTATAAATAATCTTTAGTACATTGATTTTGCTCCCTAAAATGAGGCGATTAAATGGTTATAAAATACTTTGAGGAGTTTCAGTTAAGATTTGCTGGCAAAATTCTTAAAATTTGTAACATGTAAAGAAAAAATTAATTTGTAGCCTTACCGTTGGCACCAATAGGAGGATTTCAGAATTCAGAAAGAAAAATTCAAATTAGTAAGTTTCAGTGTGATTTCAATATGACCGATTAAGTATTACCTGTAGGACACACATGGTATAATATAGATTTACTTATAATAGTTTAAATTAATTAGAACTGCCTCCCTATTCATAAGAATAAATCTTAGCTGCAAAATTAGAGCTTGCTATAACAGAAGGGTCAGATGAATTTACATTGGCATGATTATGTTAAAAAACATTATCATATTAGAAAATTACATTAATTATTATTAAATCGTAGTTTTCAAATTGCTTTAAAGTCGTAGATTAATTTTAAACTCAAATTCTTTCAAATTTTTATTCTATCTGAACCTAAAGTTGTAATTTATTTTTGCAACTGATTGTGATTGATGAATGTTAAACTCATCAAAAGAATTATGCATAGTCATAAGTATCTCAAAATAAATTTTAGAGAGCCTCAAGATTTGCATATCATAACAGAACCCAAAGAAACAAATATTAGGTTTGTATTAGTAAAAAATTCTTATAAAGAAAAATTTAATTTAAAAAAGATATTTTGAATCAGCTTCAATCTCAATTTATTTGAGTTAGTTATAGTATCTGACATAGAGCAATTATTAACTTACCAAAAAATCAGATTCCAAATCAGAGTTGATTGAAAAGTATATTTATATTAAAAACCTATTTTTGATTCTTCCCAAATCTTAATCTCAAATAAGGAAGAAATTCATCAATTATCTAGTTCTGGGGCTTCAATCGATAATTCATAAAATTAATATCAAAAATTTTTACTGTTACGACCAAAGGGAATATTACACAGCCTAATGGTTTATTTAAAAAAAAAACAAATTAATAATTATTGTAAATAATTGGAAATGATAAATAATATTTTCTAAAATTATTAATCATAAACATACAAAATTTGCAAATTTGAAGAAGAAATTAAAATTTTTCAAAATTTTTTTTGCTAGTTATTATTCACTTAAAAGAAATTAAATGAGCAGTTGAAATAGTTATGTAAGGTAATTAATATTGTCTATTAAGTAAATCAAACGGTAATCATTATCTGATATATGATTATTGAATTTAATTTTATTATGTGAATATCAGATTCTGGACACTAAAATCTTTAATTGGCTGATATGCTAATTAGATAATTTAACTAATATCCTGATAACAATTTAATAATATTTAGCATCTGATTCCTAGAGTAATTATAATCATTTCAATAAAGTTTAGCAATATTTATTGTCATCATCTTTTACAATATTTTATCATTACTGTTTTTGCAGATACTATGAAATGAAAGGACTAATAAGTCAAAATTTCAATAGGTAAGAATATAAAAGGTTGAAAATTTATGAAGGATTGCCAAAGTTGATGATTTAGCTTCCAATCTTCAAATTTTAATACATTTTTTAAACTTCTAATGCCTAACCACATGTATAAATGCTTGAAGAGAGAAAAAAAATTCCAATTTTTAAATGGAAAACTATCTAAAATTTTAATTTAATGTAATGAATGAATATTACAACTGTTTATTTGAGTGAGAAATTATACCTTATACCAAGTAAATAATAAAACAGCGGCGGATAAACGCGTACTTTGAGAAAAACCATATAAGAAAAATAACACATTGTAGGTGAACTTTGATAATTTAAGTTTCAGAATATTTTTTTAGAAGTAAAAGTTCTAAATCTTTATCGTGAGTAGAGGTTTTCTCTACCTACCATAAAACCATAAGATCAAAATAATTGTAATTCATTTCAGAATATTTTTTATCATAAGAGTTAAGGATTTTGAGCGGGCTTGAGATATTTTTTGATGTTTGAGGTGATAGTCATAAATTCTGTTTGTTTGATTTTAGGTAATTTGATAGCTAAGTTGTTCTGAATTCTTGTTTGAAATCTTGGTTTTATAATTTAAAAGAAACTATATTGTTATAAATTGAAATTATTTGAGTATTGAAGGGAATTAGTATAAAAAATTTAGTTGTGACCTACAAAATTATTAACTTGCATAATAAGGGCATCAAAAAATCGAAAGAATATTCCACCACATAGTTATTTGTGTTCATAATTACAATTTTCAATATTGAGCTGCCATTTTTTAATTTATTAAATGTTATCTTTAAAAAGTCAAGGTTTATCTAGGATCCTTCTTACAGGAGATTGAAAGGTCAATTTGAAATTAAAATCCAACAATTAATATTCCTTTATTTTTTCATTTATAAAATCAATTAATTTCAATAATATTTTGTAAGGCAATCAAATTTATGATATATTTTTGTGAAAATAACTTACACTAAATGATAGGTAAATAATAAAAGTATCCAGCTTGTGTGAATAATTTTTGTTAAATTAGAAGTTTTAATACCCATCAATTATTAATTAATTAATAAAATGCTCTAAGGATGTTGTATGGTTCTAAATTTTAACAAAATAAAGCGAATAAATAAAAGTAAACCCATTTTATAATTGAGATGAAGAATTAAAATTAATCGTTTACTAAAATGTGAATTAAGAACATAATTAAATTTGAAAAAGCAATTAAGATTGAGTTCAGATATTTAAGTTGAAAAAAAATATAAAATAGATGGATTATAAAATGATGAAATCTAAGAATATAATTTTTAGAAAGGTATGGTTACTTCTGATATTTACAGCAATTGATATATTTTGTTTCAATTTTAAATAAGAAGAATCAAACTAAAGGCATGAAAATTCAGAATATTATAATAATTAAGGTAAATTTAAACCAATATTCCAAAAAGCAAATACATTAGTTGAAAAAAATCAATATAAAGAAGCATTATAATTTTATGATTTAGCTATTTAGAGAAATCCCAAAAATTCACTTTATTATTTTAAAAAAGGTACATTTCAACATTCATATTTCTAAGCTTTTGCTTTAATGGAATTAGATGAATTTGAGCAAGCAATAAAATATTACGATTTAGCAATAGAGATACATCCTGAAATCCCAGAATATTATAACAAGAAATGTATTTGAAAATTCATTCTTTTAGCATAAACTTTAATGCTTATGGATAGATGTAGAGAATCATTAAAATTTCTTGATTTATGTATCTCTAAAAATCCACAAAATTCAAATTATTATTACGATAAAGGTATATTGGGTTATTCATCTTTATTAGCGTCTGCTTTAGTTGATTTGAGAAGATTTGAAGAAGCGCTATAATATTAAGATTTAGCTATTTAGATAAATTCTGAAATATCAGATTACTACAATTACAAAGGTATAGCTGAGCGATCAACCTTTTTTTAGCAACTATTTTAACGCATATGAATAGGCTAGGAGACGCATTAAAAAATTGTGATTTAGCTATTCAGAAAAACTCTGAAAAATCATTATATTTTCTTACAAAAGGTAGAATTAGTAAACATTTAATGTAGCTGATGTTTTATATAAAATGAACAGATTTGAGGAAGCATTGTAGTATTTTGACTAGGCTATTTGCAAAAGTTCTGAAAATCCAGAATATTATAATAGCAAAGGTATATTTTTAACAGTCATCCTTTATAGCAATTACATTAATGAAAATGGATAGATTAGAAGAGGCATTGAAATTTTTTGATTTAGCCATATTTAAAAACCCTGAAGAACCACTTTATTTTAATAACAAGGGTATAATATGCCATGTATTTCTTTAGCTGAATTACTAAAAAAGATGGGTAGATTTGAAGAAGCATTGAAGTATTGCAATTTAGCAATTTAAAGAAACCCTGAAGATTCATATTACATCAATAAATAAGGTAAAATTAGTCAAGTATTCTCATGTAGGTGAAGTGTTATCAAAAATGAGTAGATTTGAAGAAGCATTACAATTATACGACAAGGCTATTAAAAACAACTCTGAAATGCCAGAATATTATTATAACAAAGGTTAATTTTCCATAGTCATCCTTTTTAGCAATTACATTAATGGAAATGAATAGAGTGGAAGAGGCAATTAACTTTTTTGATTTTGCTATCTAGAAAAACCCTGAAGAATCAGTTTATTTTGGTAACAAAGGTATTATTAACCATATCTAATTATTTAGCTCAAGCTTTATCAAAAATAAATAGAAATGAAGAAGCATTAGAATATTGTGATTTAGCTATTTAGATAAACCCTGAAATCTCATCAAACTATTGTTAAAAAGGTATTCAGAATGCATTCTTATTAGCATCTACTTTAATGTAAATGAATAGATAAGAAGAAGCTTTATTAAATTGTGATATGGCTATTTAGAGAAATCCTGAAATTTTTGAATATTATAATAACAAAGGTATATTTATAACATTTAAGCTTTTTGCAGCAATCGCTTTAATATAAATGAATCGATTTGAATAGGCGTTAAAATCATTAGATCTAGCTATTTATTATAACCCATAAAATTCATAGTTATATACTAACAAATGTAAATATCACTACTTTTTTATAGCTGAAACATTACATTTAATGAATAGGTTTGAAGAAGCATTATAATAGAATGATATTGCCATTTTAAAAACGTCTGACAATTCGGACAATTTTTATAACAGATGTAGAAATAACTCCCATAATTTTCAAGCTGAAACTTTACAAAAAATGAATAGATTTGAAGAAGCATTATAATATTGTGATTTAGCTATTTAGCAAAACCCTGAAATCTCAGATAACTATTTTTAAAAAGGTGTTTTCGAATATATTCTTATTAGCATCTATTTTATTAAAAATGAATAGATTAGAAGAAGCATTAGATTATTGCAATATGACTATTTAGAGAAACCCTGAATTGTCATAGGCTTATAATTAAAAGGGTATAATTGAATAAGTGTACTTTTTAGCATTAATTTTAGTAGAATTGCAAAGATTTTAAGAAGCATTATCATATTATGATTTAGCTATTTAGATAAATCCTGAAGCATCCGAATATTTTCATAACAAAGGTATAAGAGACATTCATCCTTTCTAGCATATGCTTTATAGGAAATGAATTTATATAAAGAAGCATTGTTATATTATGAATTGGCTATTAATAAAAACCCTAATAACCCAGATCACGATATAGGAAAAGGTAATCATATTTTGAATATTTTTGCAGCAATAACCCTAGATATGATGAATAGATATTCAGAAGCATTAGAATATTGTGATTCTGCTATCTAGAAAAATCCTGAAGAATCAGGTTATTTTTTTTGTAAAGGTAGATATTATAATATGAAGTTGTGTAGCAAGAACTCTAGAAAATATGAATAGATATGAAGAAGCATTAGAATATTATGATTTGGCAATTTAGAAGAACCCTGAAAAATCAGAATATTATATTGGTAAAGGTACANACAAAGGTTAATTTTCCATAGTCATCCTTTTTAGCAATTACATTAATGGAAATGAATAGAGTGGAAGAGGCAATTAACTTTTTTGATTTTGCTATCTAGAAAAACCCTGAAGAATCAGTTTATTTTGGTAACAAAGGTATTATTAACCATATCTAATTATTTAGCTCAAGCTTTATCAAAAATAAATAGAAATGAAGAAGCATTAGAATATTGTGATTTAGCTATTTAGATAAACCCTGAAATCTCATCAAACTATTGTTAAAAAGGTATTCAGAATGCATTCTTATTAGCATCTACTTTAATGTAAATGAATAGATAAGAAGAAGCTTTATTAAATTGTGATATGGCTATTTAGAGAAATCCTGAAATTTTTGAATATTATAATAACAAAGGTATATTTATAACATTTAAGCTTTTTGCAGCAATCGCTTTAATATAAATGAATCGATTTGAATAGGCGTTAAAATCATTAGATCTAGCTATTTATTATAACCCATAAAATTCATAGTTATATACTAACAAATGTAAATATCACTACTTTTTTATAGCTGAAACATTACATTTAATGAATAGGTTTGAAGAAGCATTATAATAGAATGATATTGCCATTTTAAAAACGTCTGACAATTCGGACAATTTTTATAACAGATGTAGAAATAACTCCCATAATTTTCAAGCTGAAACTTTACAAAAAATGAATAGATTTGAAGAAGCATTATAATATTGTGATTTAGCTATTTAGCAAAACCCTGAAATCTCAGATAACTATTTTTAAAAAGGTGTTTTCGAATATATTCTTATTAGCATCTATTTTATTAAAAATGAATAGATTAGAAGAAGCATTAGATTATTGCAATATGACTATTTAGAGAAACCCTGAATTGTCATAGGCTTATAATTAAAAGGGTATAATTGAATAAGTGTACTTTTTAGCATTAATTTTAGTAGAATTGCAAAGATTTTAAGAAGCATTATCATATTATGATTTAGCTATTTAGATAAATCCTGAAGCATCCGAATATTTTCATAACAAAGGTATAAGAGACATTCATCCTTTCTAGCATATGCTTTATAGGAAATGAATTTATATAAAGAAGCATTGTTATATTATGAATTGGCTATTAATAAAAACCCTAATAACCCAGATCACGATATAGGAAAAGGTAATCATATTTTGAATATTTTTGCAGCAATAACCCTAGATATGATGAATAGATATTCAGAAGCATTAGAATATTGTGATTCTGCTATCTAGAAAAATCCTGAAGAATCAGGTTATTTTTTTTGTAAAGGTAGATATTATAATATGAAGTTGTGTAGCAAGAACTCTAGAAAATATGAATAGATATGAAGAAGCATTAGAATATTATGATTTGGCAATTTAGAAGAACCCTGAAAAATCAGAATATTATATTGGTAAAGGTACATTTGTTTTAAAGAAAAATTCAATTAGGCAGAGCTTTAGAAAGTATAGATAGATGTGAAGAAGCGTTAGAATATTACGATTCAGCCATTTAGAAAAGCCCAGAAATATCCGAATATTATTTTATAAGAGGTAAAGAATTATAAGAATTTATGTAGCACAATCTCTAGAAAAATTGAATAGATATGGGGAAGCATTAGAAAATTATGATTCAGCTATTTTGAACAACCCGGAATAATCCAAATACTTTATCTAAAAAGGTAAATAGTATTATATCAATTTGTTTCAGCACGAATCTTAGAAAGTATGGGTAGATATGAAGAAGCATTAGAATATTATGATTCAGCTTTTTCGAAAAGCCCTGAAAATTCAAAATATTATTTTGCCAAAGGTAAAGACTATGATATGAATTAATGCAGCATAAGTTCTAGAAAATGCGAATAGATTTGGAGAAGCATTAGGATATTATGATTTAGCTATTTAGAAAAACCCTGAAGAATCAGAACATTATGTTGGTAAAGGTAAATATTATTAAAAAATCTTTGCAGCAAGAACTTTAGGAAGTATGGGTATATATGAAGAAGCATTAGAATATTATGATTTAGCTATTTAGAAAAGCCCTGAAAATTCAGAATATAATGTTAGAAAAGGTAAATATGATGAATATGAATTTATACAGCACAAGCTCTAGAAGAAATGTATAAATAAGAAGAAGCATTGGAATATTATAATTTAAATAGACAAATATAATTTTCAGAATAATAGAATTGAACCTTTCCTATATATTTGAATTTGTTATTATACGTAATTTAATAAGACAAATTTTCTTTGTCCAGTAGTAGAGATGATATAATTTCAGAGTAAATTCGAGAAAATTCAAAATTAAATAATCAACTCCCACATTAATATTAATATTTGAAGTTGCGTTGTTCATGCAATACATCTTAATTCTATAATTTAATTACAAGGTTTCTTTGAAACCAAATTCTTTACTTGTATTGTTCTGTTTAATTTATAGGTTGGCACTTTGCAATTTTACAACTTATGAGAGGAAATTAAATTTATAACGTAGATCCTATTATATTAAGTTTAGTAAAATTTAGGAGGTTTGAAGGCTTGTACTGTAAAATTCAGTCTTAATGGTTGATTGGTTATTAACTTAATTGCAAATTATTCTGAATTACTACATAGAGATGGTCAATTACAGATATTTGTTATAATTCCTTTTATAAATTTAGTTAGTCAATTACTATCAATATCCTTGAAAAGAGTGAACAACTATCGCGTCTTTAAATTTAGAACGAGCAGATCATTTATTATTAAGACTAACAAACCTTGCTTAGATAAAATTGCACAATTATTTTGCTTTTAGGTTCTATAAAGAAAAATTCTAACTATCAAAGATTAATAGCTGGCAGGAAATTTAGTTAATTAGCTCGACTTCGTTAGATTTTCAGAATCATTGTTCGAGGATGGTGTTAATAGCTGCAAAACATGTTAATAAGGGATTCAAGAACAAGGGGGGATAATTTTCTGATACCTGAAATGATGACCTATTACATGAAAAACTAGCCAGTTTGCACATTTGGCTAATCTGAATTGATTTTTCATAAACGCGCTTGTGTTTTATGCGCTGGCGATTTTCTGCATACATAAATTTAAGTTCAACCTTTCTAACAGAACTTAAATCTAGCAGTCCAGATTAATTATTATATTAAGAAGTATCTATATGATTCTACAGATGGATGCATTCAGTCATCTCTAATTCTTGAAATTCTTTTTGTAAAACGTAAAATGTAAGCCCAACCATTTTTGTTTAGGTTTATCTTGTGATCCATGTTGATATTTGAATCAGATAAATGCTCTTCTTCTTTCCTAGATTGAAATTATTTGCAGTATCAAATAATTAATTGAAGTAATTGATGAATTTTCATATGATTTGTTTAATCTATTGATTTATATTTTTTTTAAATAACATAGATTTATGTGCCTGAGCTCTCCATGTTACAGCGGTTTTTGTAGAAGAAAGATTAGATAATAGGCTTTTGATAAACCTTAAGCAGGCTATAATTAAACTTTGGTTATAAAAATATCGTCAAGGTGTACTTCTTCTTTTGATTGGATTTATTCTTGTTTCTAAACGATACTGCAAGCATTGCTCACTCAAAATAAAAGAAGATAAAGAGTATTCAAGAGGCACATTACTAATTGACAAATTTGTTGAGTACTCAATAATGATATTTTATTATCAAAATGAGAATTAGTTTTGTCGAAGAATCTGATACTTCACAGTTATAACTAGTGTTTGATTTCTAAAGAAATTTATTTAAGTAAGAAAATAACGTTATTTGTGTTTAAAGTTGTTAGATACCTTAACTGTAGGTGAAAATAGCTAACTAACAATTGTGGTTACATTACATCTTAAATGAAAATATAGATATTTCCTTTATACTTTAATAATTGATTTACTCAATCAATTCTTTTTTGAATATCTTGTGTTGAAACTTATAAAGGGCAGTTAAACTCGAAGTTTTTTTCTAACATTATACTTCACATGTATTGGTAATTATCATAGCTCACTAAAAAAGGAGTATAAGTACCCATTAATAATTATACCAATAAAGTTTCTATTAAATCGCAATAGTATTTTGTATCTCCATTCAAAATCAACCGCTTCGAAGCAGCAGTGTTTCTGTTTATGTTCAGCTTACACCTTAGCTTCCATAACTTGAAGCAACTTCTATTATAATAGTTGTCCTTTTAGAAATCTTACAGATATCAGCGCAAATCCATGCTTACAAATTCAGATAAAGTAAATACATAATTTACTACAGAAGGAATATTCAAGTTAAATTTAGGCGCTTATACTCTTATTTGGAACCTTTTTTTTGCTTTATATGTCCTATATTTACTTTTCTAATTCAGATACTATGTTTGTGATATCATTGAAGTGAGCAATAATCTCTTGCAAATACAGTCAGTATCCCATGTATAGCATGTCTATTTAACATTGCTCTGATGCCTCTATTTAGAAGCACTTCGCATATCGATGAATGTTATAAAATCATCGGTTGAGAGTCAAATTATCTTGATTCTTTATTAATGTTATGAAATGATATTTAGCATCTTTAACTTCTGATTGTGTGAAAAGCATGTGATACTTGTTGAACTTAAGTAGGTTATCACTGATAATTAGTAATATTTTTTGGTTTACTCTCTTATTTGAACTGTGAAATGAAATAAACAAAAGTGTCAAATTTATTAATTGGATTTGTTTTGCTTTTTTAAAAACTGATCTCTTTGATATAGATATATTGTATTAGTAGTAGAGCATCTAATTTGAAATGAATGTACAAGTTTGAACATTAAATGCACATGATTTGCTAATAGTCGCTATGCTTGAGAGATTATTTGTCTCTTAACGAAGTTAATTTTTAATGATTGGTAGCTTAAATATGTGCAAGAGGGTTCAAATATAAGCAATTAAAATGCATTAGCTTTGTCCTTCCACTGTCATTGGTATTGCAAATAAATATGCGAATCCACCTGTGATGGTGGTGACAGTTTATGCAACATTGGAGACATAGTTTTTAGACCTATTTTTAAATATAGAGTCCTTTTT